TTTTTAAAGATAGGGACAACTATCGACTCATTCCATGACGTTGGTACACTCTCTAGTTCCCAAACCTTTGTAAACAACGTCGTCAATTCCTTAGTCAAAAAGTCACCACCATCTTTAAAAAGAGCCGGAGGTAAGTCATCTGGGCCAGGTGATTTGTAACGCTTCAAGAGTTGGAGTTCCTTGCGGACTTCCTCCTCATTTGGTGGATCAGTCGTCACCGGCCATGGAGGGCAGGACAGTCTGACCGATGTTGCCGGAGCAGCAGGCCAGTTGAACTGCCCTTCGAAAAATTCTGCCCATCGTCCAAGACGTCGATGGATGTTAGTGATTGGCATCCCATCATCCTCGCAGATTGTTTCACTCACACCAGACTTCTTGCTGCCAGTGGCTCGGATGAGCTGGAAGAGCTTCCGGTAGTTACCAGATGCAGCTGCTGCTTCCAGCTCATTAGCACGCATCGACCACCAGGCTTCTCGGTCCTTACGCAAGCTTTGCCCAATTTCCTTACGTAACATCCTTCGTTTATGGTCAAACTCACGGTCACCCGGAGTAGACCGACGGGCTTCAATGAGTTGTAAGGAACCAGAAGAAACCCAGTGCTTAAAGCGGGACGTTTCGCAAACCCACAACTGACTGTTCCCGCCATTTTCATGGCGTCATGCAATTGCAACCAATGCTCATCTATACTTTTCGGTGGAGTGGTAGCTAGCCTAGAGGCTAGCTCGGTTCGATACTTACTTGCAACAGAAGTTGCAACCAGCTTGCTAACATCAATCCGTTGATGGCGGTCACTTCGTTGTCCACTGAAAAGTAAGGCAAGATTGGCGCAGACCAAGGCATGGTCAGAGTCCAGATAGGTACTCCAAAAGGAGCGGCAGTCTTTTACACAACCACGCCAGCGGTAGCTGATCGCGATGTGATCAATCTGAGTCCAGGCTTGAGATGCAGAGGGAGGACGCCAGGTGGCACATCGGCGATGACTGTGCCGAAAGTTAGTGCTAGCCAGAAACAGGTTGTGGTCTGTGCAAAGTTGCAGTAGACGGTCCCCGTTATCTGACCTGCGACCAACGAGTCCCCATCGGCCACCTAAACGACTCTCTTCTGTGCCTAGACGCCCGACCTGAGCATTCAAGTCTCCGGCTAGTACTACAATATCTGTCGAACGCACTTTCTGGAGAAGAACAGATAACTGGTGGTAAAACTCATCCTTGATTGCATCCGGGCTGCAATCTGTCGGGGCATAGGCGGAGATGACGAAAAGACATCGTTTCTCACGCCGATTTCTTCTCACTTTGATGGAACTTTCTAATCTAACAGCACATAACCGACTGTTAATGGGGATCCAATCGACTAGTGCTGCCTCAGCTCTAGCGCTTAGTGCGACACCAACGCCAGCAAGACCAGACGAAGATGCCACAGGGTCCCCGGATAAGCGCACGTAAAACAAGCTTTTCGAAGCGACAGATGGAGATCGAATTTGTAGTACTTCGCCAGAGTCTTGAATACGGGTCTCGGATAGACAACAAACATCGATATTAAGACTTTCCAAAGACATAGCCAGCCCTATCTGTTGTCCGACCTGCATAAATGTGCGAACGTTGAAGGCAGCCAGTTTGAATGGTGCACGTGGTTTCAGAAAAACTGCTTCAGTACTCATATTCGGTGGTAACATACAATTTTCAACCGGACAGTGACTCGAGAACGTTTAGATACAGTCGAATTTCCACCAAAGACGAGCCGCTGTATAAGCATAAAAAAGGGTGAATAATGTGGTAAATAATAATAATAATAATAATAAATAATTTGATTGTTATTCGAAGCGAGAAAAGTAGTTTCCATAGATATAGAGAGTTCATTATTTGCGTGTGGGCTGCGATACTGCCCGGGTGCCCAGACCGAAACAGGTGGTTATCGTAGGGAGCCACTCCCCGAGCCTTTGACCCAAAGGTCTAACCCACAAGGCAGTGGAGCATCGTAAGGAGATGCAGTCCCATGGTATCCGGTGACCAACGATTGGTTCATACGCCATTTGTTCCCGCAGGATACTGGAGCCCCTGTGCACCATTGGTTTGGAATCCGGTTAAAGCGCCGGACATTCGCTTTTCGTTCTCTCATTTTCGTAAACAACACCCCTGCCACGAGAAGGCAGTGAGTAGGACTTCCCTGGCAGAGGCTGCATATGCGTGGCCATGTGAGAGTATTTCGAGAGGGAGAGCGGACTCTCCCCACTTCCGGCCATACCAGGGTATTTGGGGACAAATAGACTAGAACTCTGACAAGGCACGATCAAGAATTCGAATTTGAAGTAGGCAGAATGAGATTGTATCGTATCATTGTGTCACATTAAAACACAACTGCTCAGAAGTCTCACACTAGGACTAAATGGCCGTCCTGAGATTCCACGTTTTCATTGATGGTCTAGCAGTAATCGACTCATAATCTCGATGAAATTCAACAACCTCAATCTGAAAACCTCATGAAATGTTTAGTTGTACAGTAACTGCATTAATTATTGGCCAAATCTTTGTGATATCAGATTCAGAAGATTAAATACGGTCCTTTTAGTTAAAGATATCAAGTACACTGAACGAATTCCAATAACTGTAACCCTTTATTTTAGGTCCGATTTTATCATATGCAGTTGAAGATACCAAGTTTTCATTCTCACTACGTTTGATACTTTTTCATAAAGTACGACAGTTCCGTTTTTGTCCAGTGCTTAATTAACGATTCCCTGGGCTTACACTTCATTTTCTTGTATGATTATCATAAAACGAATATAATCAAGTAATAGAGGTCTTTATATCCATAGATTTGAACAGTTTTCTTTTACAGATTTCCTGTTAACTGCTGCACTGATCATTTATTACTTGAGTTCACTTTTGTCCAATGCACAAACTGCATTCCAGCCATTGTATTATCGACTGTTTAGTTCGTTGTTAGAACACCGCCATACTTATCAAAGGCCAACAATCGTAGTGTTTCTTGACATCAGGGCTGCCTTCGATTCGTTGGACAGGACTGTTCTCTGGGATTGTCTATTGAAGAAGGGTGTGCCTGAGAAGTTTATTAACATCCTAAAAGCCCTATATAAAAACACTTTAGGCAGAGTGAGGGCATACGACCACCTCTCTCCATTGTTCCATCCGAGCAGTGGGGTTAGGCAGGATTGCCCAATCTCACCATTCCTCTTCAACTTTGCCATCGATGACATTCTGGAAACAGCTCTGATGAATGTAAGTAATGGTGGTGTGGATCTGTTGCCTGGAGAAAGACTTCTCGACCTTGAGTATGCGGACGATATTGTCTTACTGTGCGATAATGCCCAAGGCATGCAATCCGCACTTAATCAGTTGGCAACCAGTGTCCGTAGGTATGGTATGTGCTTTGCACCTTCGAAGTGCAAAGTACTTCTACAAGACTGGCAGGATTCTAATGCTGCACTCACCATGGATGGTGAGCAGATAGAAGTAGTCGAGAAGTTCGTGTAGCTGCATAAGTGCTGGTGGGGGTGTGAGTGATGAGATCAATGCACGTATAGTGAAAGCCAGAGCGGCTTATGCCAATCTGGGTCACCTTTGTGATGTTAGTCTGGCTGTAAAAGGTCGGATCTACAACGCGTCGGTGAGAGCAGTTTTGCTCTATGCTTGTGAAACCTGGTCTCTCCGAGTTGAGGACCTTAGACGACTCTCTGTGTTCGATCATCGCTGTCTCCGAAGGATTGCTGACATTCAGTGGCAACACCATGTCAGTAATGCAGAGGTTCGGCATCGTGTGTTCGGGCACAGAGATGATAATTCAATTGGTGTCACCATCTTGAAACACCGACTTCGGTGGCTTGGACATGTTCTCCGAATGTCGTCCCAGGGAATTCCACGTCGTGCATTATTTGCCGACTCTGGGACTGGTTGGAAGAAGCGGAGAGGTGGTCAGTGCATGACATGGTGTCGTGGTATGAAAGAAAGCTACAAAGGACTGGCTTCTGTTGGTCCTTCACGACTCCCTGGTTGGGGTCCGAGAGATGGTGCTACACAGTGGCTAGAGACGTTATCAGATATGGCTCAGAATAGAAGCCAGTGGCGATCCTGCTGTAACCTTCTTTTAATTTCTTCATAAAAAGTGGTCGTGTCTCCCTCAACTGAAAGATTTCTTCTGATTGTACCTTTCCGTTTCCTCATTACTACCTCACTACATTACACCAATCTCTTCGTTATTGTTCTTTTTTTTTCTATTTCTCTTCGAATTCTCATTGTTTTGTGTGGCGCATATATATTGGCGCTCTCTTGTACCAATATTCATGTGTTCAAATAAATAAAACTATTTGGGATTAAAATTAATTCGTAAAACTATTTCAAATTCACACTTAGCATTGCTATAAACAGGGATTCTAATAGTGTCAAGGTTTTATACCTGCACGTCAATGGAAAAAGTGGAAGACCATTTAGAATACCTCAGGGCTTGGTGTTCATCACATCACTTTAGCACATTTCATAACTACTGTTTATAAAGAAGCCTAGAGTTTGTTAGGGAGTTTTGTATGTACTGCTAAATTTAATCTACATCCGTTTAGTAAAATGAAAAGACTACTAACCGATCATTTTCACGTGAAAATTACAGTTCAACAAATTAGTCCGGGTTTTAAATAAGACGATCAGAGATTTCTTACAAATGTTTCCGATGGTAGACTCTAAGTGCAATCTAAGTGAACGGATAAAGATCTAAATTCGACAGCGCACGATTGTTATTATACATGATCCTAAACTGTAGATGTAACTTTCACAAATTACATAAGTAAACAAACCCACTAACAGGATTCAACCTTTCCAAAAATATCGCAAGTTACCGTTTTAAGCTTTATACATTCTCTTTTCGAAGTATTTTTATGATCGTAAGTGGGTAAATATTAAAAAGCTTTATGCGGTTCATTTTGTTACTGCACTCAACCATTGTGTTCTTAGTCGTAGCGATTTTATTACTTTTTCTCTTTGGTAAACATACAGGTAAAATTCTTCGGTTGCTCAATACTACATAGAACACCGTTCCATAGGCCTGTCATTTTGGTGGGGGTGCAATCTTCCAAATCTAGTTTCAACTATATGATCACTGATTCAAGTCTCACTTTCTCAACCAAAATTTGTGCAGCCATATACCATTATTTCCCATAGATGTGTGTATCTTTTGGTACATAAACTTCTACAATAATGGCAGTTCACTAGTAAAAATATTCAGTTATATATCTTTCGCTTTGCCAACTAACAAAAATCGATCGATACACACAACCGCCATTACAGCCAGTCTCAGTAACCGCGGTAGGTGATCTATCGCCGCTTCCAGTACCTGCTAGAGACGACAAAGCATGCAACACATTGAATAGACGCCGTACCCATCCCAGACCAGTGGGCAAAGACAGTAACCGAAGTAGTAATCCGACATACTGTAGCGTGTCACGGAATATCGACGATGATCTCGGAAGTTACGCTTGTACCAACCAGTTGTTGAGCATTCTGTTCATTTGATGATTTAAACTAATTTATTACATTTCTCTTTCAAAGTATTGTTAACTAACACACTGATTACTTGTTTAGTTTTTAGGTATATATTTCACCGATGTTGTGATTCATACAAAGAATTCATTTTCATTTTCTACGGCTAATATTTGATCAGGTCTGATCTTGTAGCCTTTTCATTCGCATAACACTACTAAATACATATGTGTGAGGTTAGAAATGTAAATGGTAGACAGTTAGATTATTCTACTTCCCAGTACCCCGACCGTAGTTGCTACCTTGACGTGGTGGTCGGGCTTGCCTATCGTGATGAAGCAACCGAGCTATACTGGCTGGAACAACCGTTCCTCAAGGTCCTACCATGTCAGACAGGTCGGTTGAAGAGCGGTAAGACTAAAAGCAACAAACCCAAGGTCCGAAGGCGAAGTCGTACTGCTGACTGTACAGAGGTGTGACAGCAGTAAGGTGTTTCCTTCAGACAACCAGCATGACAGCGATGCTGCCTTCCCACAAGGAGGGGTGGGGTTAGAAAAGGTCGACCCTAAAAATGGACACCTCACCTTACCTCACGGATTTCCGTCTCCGGCGGTAAGGCCCTTTGAAGAACGGAGCTAACACGCTAAAAACCTTCCACAAAAAGGCCGTGCGCGACCGGCCTCAAGCAGTTGTCCCTTGGGCACTGCGGTCACGCTCTCAGGTCACTGAGACCACTTCTAATCCAATTTCCTTTTCAGGTACCTCCAGAAGAACCCTTCCTCGGTGTGGGCAACCGGGAAGTGATAACCGCCCTCATACCTCTAACAGCACTCGAGACCACTGTATTCATAATCAACCTTCCTCTTCAATTCCTATTATTCCTCCTACATCGACTTTCAACTCTAAACTTCCTCTTTCGGCTTCCTCCTCAAGTGTCACCATAGCCAACGATTCTAGTGCTCAAAACTCTGTCCCAGGTCTACTGAAACCTCGCTCCAAACTACACATTGGAGCCTTCAACGTACGAACCATATGTCAAATCGGTCAGCAGGCTTCCTTGGCTAAAACCCTAGAGTCTCTTTCCATTGATGTATGCTGTGTCTCCGAAACACGCATACAGGATTCCAGTGTGGTCATTCACTTGACATCACCTCGGCAAAACGGAGAGCCAACGAGATACACCCTCCGTGTATCTGGTGACCCGATGGCCAGTTCTCGTGGACTGGCAGGTGTAGGCATAGCACTAAACACGAGGGCGGAACAAGCACTGCTAGAGTGGCTCCCCGTCAACAGTCGTTTATGTGCTGTTCGGCTAAACGGCTCCGTAAGAACTCGGAAGGATAGGGACACACGTCGTTGCCTTTTCGTCGTTTCTGCCTACGCTCCCACCGACTGCAGCTCAGATGAAATGAAAGATGAATTTTACAGAAAGCTTTCTGAACTTCTTCAGAAAGCTAAACGCTCAGACATAGTACTCATAGGGGGTGACTTTAATGCTCAGATAGGTAGCTTAAACCAAACAGAAAGGCATTTAGGTGGATATTTTAGCATTCCGGCACAGCGAACAGATAATGGTGACCGTCTGCTGCAACTGTGCTCAGACAATCGTTTATTTTTAGCAAACACAGTGGCTAGAGACGTTATCAGATATGGCTCAGAATAGAAGCCAGTGGCGATCCTGCTGTAACCTTCTTTTAATTTCTTCATAAAAAGTGGTCGTGTCTCCCTCAACTGAAAGATTTCTTCTGATTGTACCTTTCCGTTTCCTCATTACTACCTCACTACATTACACCAATCTCTTCGTCATTGTTCTTTTTTTTTCTATTTCTCTTCGAATTCTCATTGTTTTGTGTGGCGCATATATATTGGCGCTCTCTTGTACCAATATTCATGTGTTCAAATAAATAAAATTAGTTCGTTGTTCCGTAGAGGATTTTAGTTCTGACATCTGATTTATTTATTATTCGCAATGCGGAAATCAGCAATAGAAAATAAGAATTTTTTGACTTCCAATTGTTTGTATTCTAGTTAGGTATCCATTCAGTAGTGTTTCCGATTGGAGTGCTAAATATTGCAACTTCTAGTCTGAGATCTGTGTTGATGACGAAACGCAGTATCATGTTTTAGAAAGGTAAACTCTTGGTCTGAACATATACTGTTCACCGTTTGTATTTGCTAAGAGTGTCATCTCCTTAAAAGCCACATCGGAACTAGGAGTTGTCGTTATTGGTTCAAAACACATCATTAACATCCAGTGCTGGCCTTATCATGGTTTTTTCTTTTAATTCCACATAATTCGCTAAAATATTTTTTTTTATTTCCTGAGCGTTTTTATTTTATCCCACTTGACAGTCAAAATATCCAGAGAAGAAGCGAATTTGTGCAATGTATTCACAAAATGCATACGTCACGATTCTGGGTACAATGGTTTCTATCTACAACCGATGCACAAATGTAGCTCCGTAAGTATTTCAATACCAATAATGTCTTGTATTCGAGCAAAATGACACCATATTTGACTCACCTAGCTGAAAGGAAATCAAGACAAATAGTAGGACAAATTTACCATTCACATTCATTACTAACTTGTTCTCTCCAGTTATTTGAATTTTTCTAAATCAGTCTCAATCGGGGATGACGAGCAAGTGTTGTAACTTATAGATGAATGACAGCTGAAGTTTTTTTCTACAAACTAATTAGAGGTATGACTAACTATCTTTTCACCCTAAAGATTATTTACGAAGTTGCGTAAACATGCAAGTTTCTCTATAGCTGTTTTTTGCTAAAGATAACTGATAAATATTTTTTGCGATACTGTATTTAACCTTATATCGTGGTATAACTGTAACAATAAGAGTTTAAGCTCATTCATGCAATTTTTCCTCACTAACAAAAGTTATTCAGTGTTCTTAATTAGCTGATAATGGTTTCTCTAACAGTCTCTCAAAGAATATCAAAATTATTGGTAGATTATGCATTCGCGTTTGAGATAAGTTATTATTATGGACTTGGCTTTCAGGTTAATTTGCGCTTCGAATGTGACCGGCATTTCGGAAACTGCGTCTGCGAACTTTGGCCTCAGCTTCTATGGCAGCTAAAATCACTTTTTCTTCGTGTTTTACATGGGAACCAATTAGTCTTCAGCTAATATCTGCCTGTCTAAAATCCGTTGTCGGTCGACACTATCTTGAAATCATAACGCATCAGTATATTTTTCCATCGTTGTAAACGGTTTGCTGTATAAACAAGGTTACTCTTTCTAGATTCAAAAACTACTAGTAGAGGTTTGTGGTCTTTTAGCAACGTAAACTGTCTGCCGAGTAACATCTTGTGAAACCTCTTCACAGCAAAGATAATGGAGAGGGCTTCCTTCTCTGTCTGACTATAGTTCCTTCCTGTCGTTGTTAGTAATCATGCAGCATGGGCAACCGCTATCTTTGATCAATCTGAGTAGATATGTGAAGTCACTGCTCCGATTCCATAATTTGATTCATCTGCTGTGATCACAATGGTAAGGGCTGGATCATAATGCTTAAGTAGGTTTAATGCTAGGAGCTGTTTTAGTTCTAGGAATGCTTGACATTCTGTTGACCTGGTCAATTTGGTATTCTTTGTTAGTAAACCATTCAGCGGGGCACGCAGACGATGCAGGTCTGGAAAAAACACAATAATGGTTAACCATTTCCAAGAAGGAACGTTAAGTGAATACATCTGTCGGTGGAGGCATGGTTTTGATCACTCCGATATTTCCTGGATCAGGTTTTTCTTCCATTTTTATCGACTAAAATCTCAGATAGCTCACTTGCTCCACGTACAAAACACTTTTCTCAGCATGTTATCTGAAAACATAATCTGCTGTCTCTGAGAACTATATCCACCTTCCCTAAGTCAACCTAGTCCGTACCCATGATAAATATATCATCCAGATAGACCGCAGTACCAAGAATATTTTGCAGCATAGTGTCCATAACTTGTTGAAAGATTGAAGGGACTGTCTTTACTCCAAAAGAAAGTCTTATATAGGAACAAACCTTTGTGCGTGTTTATAGTCAGGTAATGCTTGCACTCTTCAGCTACTGGGATCCGTAAATAAGCTTCTGATAAATACAATTTTGCGAAATACTCCCCCTCATTCAGTTTTGCAAATAAGTCTTCTGGTAAAGGCGAAGGGTACTGATGGGCTTCAAGTGCTTTGTTTAGGCATGCTGAATAAGGTCTCCACTGGTTCGTCAGTCTTCACTCGACTGCAAATATGAATAATGGGGTGATTTGCTAACTGTAGCTATTCTAATAAGTCTAGACCCAGCAAATCTAGTCCTGGACGTTCTGTGAGATTTGATGTTGCTCTCGTCTTTTCATTTTCTTTTGAAACGACACAGCATACCTCTCCAACAATATTTAATTTCCCACCAGATATACTGTGGGCTAACTCGGTTGTTGGAAGCACCGGGTTTTTTCCATCATTGTTCCAGGTTTTTCGGCTGACGAGTGTAATGTTAGAAGCAGGCGGGTGCTGTGACCGTCGACCTTGATGGTTGCGTATTTTCGTCGACTGTATTCTGTTTCCTTGTGTGCTACCGTTACTTGGCTGGTTGAAGTGTGCGGTTTACATCTCCTGGAATAAAATCGCGGTGAGCGACGACGATACATTTTCCTTTACAGCAGGATTCCTTATGTCCTTTATGCTGACATTTAGTGCAACGGTAGTTTTTATATGGACAAAACTTCTTGTAATGCCATTCACCGCATAACCAGCACGAGGATGGAGGCAGTTTGTTTGGGCTGTCCTTCTTTCATGATTTTCTACCAAGAAAACTCTTCCATTTGTTAATGGTCAATAATCACCAGTTTGTTGATGACTAGTTTTTTTCAATTGAATTCGGGTGATGATAAGAAAGATCTTAATGTTAACTTTAAAGTCAGTTTATTGAAGGATCAAAGTTAAATCAAACTCCTAGTCGGTTTCCTCACTCTTGTAATACCGCGTTGGAATATATTCGTACTTAACTGTGTGATGCTATTTTGGACTTTTTTCTAAAATCATTTGACATCATTGAATCTTAATCCAGTCATTATTATTACTTTTTTCCTCTCCTTTTTTATATCTCAGTCAACACATATATCAGTTTTGCCATTCGAACTGCTTTTGAGAATAATTCGATGGACCATTGGCAGCCATCTAAATATACGTGTTCTAGGTGTTTTATCTTGTGTAAGTTTTTGAAAAGTCTATTTTCATCATTGTAAAAATATCACTTAACCTTTCTAAGTCCATTTGATAAATTTCGATAATGCAGTGAGAAGACAGAGGTTATCAGAATTATGTGATATATTTGCGCAACACATCTCGAACAATCTGATCACATATATAATTTTTAGGACATTTTTATATGAAAACTAAATGGTCAACTAGATAGGTTTAAAGGTAAGCCTTAACAAAAAAATAAGGTGCACAAAAACAATGTGGTTGAGACTGGTCATAAGGTTGATATCAAGTCAGCATTTGTAGTGTAGTCTCAACCACATTGTTTTTGTGCACCTTATTTTTTGTTGTTGTTGGTGTTGTACAAACCCGACCGTTGTTGCTACCTTGACGTGGTGGCCGGGCTTGCCTATCGTGATGAAGCAACCGAGCTATACTGGCTGGAACAACCGTTCCTCAAGGTCCTACCATGTCAGACAGGTCGGTTGAAGAGCGGTAAGACTAAAAGCAACAAACCCAAGGTCCGAAGGCGAAGTCGTACTGCTGACTGTACAGAGGTGTGACAGCAGTAAGGTGTTTCCTTCAGACAACCAGCATGACAGCGATGCTGCCTTCCCACAAGGAGGGGTGGGGTTAGAAAAGGTCGACCCTAAAAATGGACACCTCACCTTACCTCACGGATTTCCGTCTCCGGCGGTAAGGCCCTTTGAAGAACGGAGCTAACACGCTAAAAACCTTCCACAAAAAGGCCGTGCGCGACCGGCCTCAAGCAGTTGTCCCTTGGGCACTGCGGTCACGCTCTCAGGTCACTGAGACCACCTCTAATCCAATTTCCTTTTCAGGTACCTCCAGAAGAACCCTTCCTCGGTGTGGGCAACCGGGAAGTGATAACCGCCCTCATACCTCTAACAGCACTCGAGACCACAGTGTTGTACAAAAGCCTTAGCTATACGGAAACTGAAACCCCCTTTATATGTTCAAAAACAATTTGGTCTTAACCTTAACCTACCTTGGAAATATTGATTTATTATACAGGATGATTATCATATTGTTTTTGTGTACTTTATTTTTCTTAGTTACGGCTTACATTTAACCTGCTTAGTTGATCATTTGCCCCCAAATACCTGGTACTGCCGAGAGTGGGGAGAGTCCGCTCTCCCTCTCGAACTACTCTCACACGGCCACGCGTATGCCAGGGAAGTCCTACTCATTGCCTTCTCGTGGCAGGGGTGTTGTTTACGAAGTCGAGAGAACGAAAAGCGAGTGTCCGGCGCTTTAACCGGGATGGTGGACATGGAGAGTCCATCTAGGGGAGTTGGGAAACTCTTATTCCAAACCAATGGTGCACATGGGCTCCAGTATCCTGAAGGAACAAATGGCGTATGAACCAATCGTTGGTCACCGGCTACCATGGGACTGCATTTCCCCACGATGCTCCACTGCCTTGTGAATCAGACCTTCAGGTCGACGGCTCCGGGTGTGACCCCCTAAGAAAACCATGCGCTTCGGTTTGGGCACCCGGGCAGTATCATAGCCCTCACAAATATCAAATGAGATTTGTTTGGCGCTTATGTATTTGGTGCCCCCTTGCACCAATATCTATGTGTTAAAATAAATAATAGTTGACCACTTCGTTTTCATATAAAAATGTCTTAACAGGTATATGTGTTATCAGACTGTTCGGATTGTGTTACATAATTCTGATAACCTTTACTCATTGCATTATCGAATTTCATGCAGTCCATTAAACAGGGAAAAGAGACATAAACAACATACCGAACAGTAACTAGAGCATAGGAAAAATGAGTCAACGAACTTTATATCGTTCATGGTAAACATAAAATTATGATCGGCGAATAAGCGAAGCATAGCCATACAAGGTCAAAGAAAGTTAATGTGGTAGTGGGCGTTTCCTGTCGTCATTACTGGGTTCGTTTATTGATCACATTTCATAAGATATTGAAATAAGTTAAGGTTATCAAGGCCAGTGTTAATCGAATTTAACAGCAGATAGTTGGTTTACTTAGTGGATTCTATAACAAGAATGACTAAATATTTAAAGTTCCCATTAATCTCACTTGTGGAATAAGATACATTTACAGGTGCTTGAACATTTAATGCATTTTCAGAGGAGCAGTATGCTTCATTGCAGCGAACAAACGATGGGAGTAATTTTATCTTACGGATGGATTATGGCAGATTATTCCAGAGCCTGTAAATTTTACATGTTAAGTAATTCATATAGAAAGATGATTTAAAGTGGATTTGTTTCACTAATGACAAGGAGTTGCAGATGTAACTAGAAGTTTCTGCATATTGAATTACTCGATTGCATGTAAAGGATAATCTATCAAGTATTTTGAAGAAACATATTATGTTTAGTTTGAGTCTCCTTTTCCATAATGAGTTGAACCCAAGTTTATTACATCTGGAATTAAGATTCAAGTTACAACCAATTCAAGAGTAAATCATTTATGTACTAACTCCAACCTTAATTTTGTCTTTTGTGTGCATACTACTAAGAATGAACATGCAATATTCTAGGAGTGGTCGAACACGAACTTTGTACAACAAGATACGTGACTCGTTGTTATAAAGGTTCGAGTTATGCAACCCATAAAAGTTGAGACAAGGAGGTTTGTTTCAATACCTGTTCTGTAAACGACAAATCGCAGGAGTCCCAAGTCTACTACTGTATGTAACTTAGATAACACCTCACAATTTATGGTAAGATACAAGTCGAGTGATGTATTACCGAAGTATATCCATCCACATTTAGTTGTGTTAAGCTCCAGCTCCCATTTTAAGCACCATTGCGCTACCTTGTTAAGCTCCATGCTTATACAATTTTGCATATTCTTCAGCTCAGGTAAAGAAAATGAATGCACTACTTTAAGATCATCTGCTTACAGAAGGGGCCTACCCGCACAAATACATCCACAACTATCATTGATATAAACTAAAAAAGAGAAAGGGTCTAAGACACTGCTTTATGTTACACCAATTCTGACAGGGTCAGCGTCCGACAAGGAAGAGTTAATTTTAACTATTTGATATCGATGGCTGAAAAAGGAACCAAACCAAGCGAGCGGAGTGTTTAGACCCCGTAACATGCGGTTTATCTATAAGACGTTGGCGGCTAACCATGTCGATAAGTTTCATAAGTTAAAGAAAGGAAGTGTAGAGTGTAAAAAAACGAGAACGTCCTTATCTGTGTTTTGTATTTTAGAGTTGACTGGACTGTGGTTCAGTGTCGGTGTTTGGTCATATGGGTTATTTATTTATTTAAACACATAAATATCAGTACAGGAGGGCACCAAATATATATGCGCCACACAAAACAATGAGAATTTGCAGAGAAGGAAAAAAAGGTAAGGAGCGTAAAAAAACGATAACGAACAGATTAGTGTAAGGTAGTGTAGTAATAATAATGGGGGAAACAGAAACGTACACTCAGAAGAGATCTTTCAGTTAAGGAAGAAGCAACCACTTTTTATGAAGAAAGTAAAAGGTTACAGCAGGATCGCCACTGGCTTCTATTCTGAGCCATATCTGATAACGTCTCTACTCGAGAACGTTTAGATAGAACCGAATTTCCACCATAGACGAGCTGCTGTATAAGTCGAAAAATAAGGATAGATAGAGTAGGAATAAAAGAGAGTGATTAAATGACGTAGTAAATAATAACAATAGTAATAATAATAATGTGAATCGTTTGATTAACAGTTGAGGGAGGAAAGTATTTTCCATAATTATCGACAGTTCATCATATTTGTGTGCGGGCTGTGATACTGCCCGGGTGCCCAACCGAAGCAGGTGGTTATCTTAGGGGGCCACACCTCGAACCTTCGACCTGAAGGTCTGATCCACAAGGCAGTGGAGCATCGTGAGGAGATGCAGTCCCATGGTAGCCGGTGACCAACGATTGGTTCATACGCCATTTGTTCCCGCAGGATACTGGAGCCCATGTGCACCATTGGTTTGGAATCCGGTTAAAGCGCCGGACATTCGCTTTTCGTCCTCTCATTTTCGTAAACAACACCCCTGCCACGAGAAGGCAATGAGTAGGACTTCCCTGGCAGAGGCTGTATATGTGTGGCCATGTGAGAGTATTTCGAGAGGGAGAGCGGACTCTCCCCACTCTCGGCCATACCAAGGCATTTGGGGGTTACAGCTTGAACAAACTAATGCTAGAGGAATCAAGGATTTTTGAAGGCCAAAAAATACGTTGATAAGGTAGACTTATTTGCTGAAGTTGACTTGGCAGACAGTCGCAAAATTCACGTACTCGTTGGGGTTCAGTTAATGGTGCGTAACCTATTAGTCCGTCTTGTCTATCGTGGAAGTGATGAGAAAAGTTATATCTTGCAGATTCGGTGCATAAAAGTTTCAGAGTAATCCTGAAACATAATGGTTCCTTGAAGTCTGTCTGATATTAGGCCTGCTTACACAATGGTTGTGGTGCCCGTTTTGTGCGTCGTTTGCGCTAAGTGTCTCCATATAACCACCCCTACTAGTAGTAGAGTAAAACAGGATGTCGGAAATATATTTTTGTATGGTGGAGCAATTGTAATATCTTTGGTATTAGTTTTGGAATCAGACAGTTTTATACAGACTTTATTCCTACATGGTATAGACTTTAATTTTAACAGTATTTTGAAGAGCTTTTACGTTAGAACTAGGTATTGGGGTACGCACTTCTAATGTTAGACTAGGAGATACCAGATTAAAATATACATTGGGTATATATTAGTTATCTGAGGTCACTACGGGCATAAGTGGTAAGTTAGCAATCTTCGGAATATTGGTTGACATGAGATAGGTTATTTTCATCACTGGGTCCTGCTACTGAGGCAACGGAATTCACTGTAATCTCTACATCGTTTTTTTTTCATTTAAGGTGCGTTTTTTGCGTAAGCCTTTGATTGGTGGTTTTATCTGAGACTATACGAGCGTCCCTAAACTTCATAAGCGCGCAGATTAACCCTTCAGATTCCTCCAGCTGTTCAGTTAATAAACGTGAATCAAATCTAAACAAGATAGGACACAGGAACTTCTAGTGCTTCTTATTAAGGCGAATACGTTGACACCAACTATCTTGAAGGTCGTAATAATTTATAATCACTTTTATTATAATTATTACTATTTAAGTGCTCAAATAATCTTTGTGTATAAGTTTGCTGGGATGTAAATCTTTTTTTCTAATGTTCATAACACAACCTAAGAAATACCACAAACGGGTATAAAACAGAATCGTGAAATTCCACCATAATTTCGTTCCAGTTATCTGACAAACTCAACTTTGCCATATAATCAGCATTAATAACTCCAATAGGCGAATCACATTTCTCAATCACAATCGTATCTGAATGTTCGATTTTCATTGCAGATTATAACTCATCCAGGTATGTGTTGGTAAAAATAACCTGTTACATGTGCTCCAACCTATTTAATTGCATACTGTTTAAATCTAGTCTTTATTATTTCTTAACTTCTTCCGTCTTTATTACTTCTTTTTTGAATTATCAACAGGTATGTCGTGGTTTCTATCTGCTGGCTAATGATAATTCAATATGGAGAGATATTTGTTTCAAATTATGGCCAGTATGGCTAACATATGACAATAATAATATCGGTTGTAATAATCAACTTAATTATTTATCCTCAATGAATTACACTTCATGGCGTGAAATGGCTATTTATCGACCACAAGTTTTATATCATGGTATGATTTGTCTGCCTGGGGTCTTTCGTTTTCTTTTTGAATTGGACTTAGCTTATATAAACCTCACATATATTCCTTCCATCGAACATTTACCAGGTCCTAATATTATTGTTCAACATTTTTAAATATTAGTAGTTCGTGCAATTCTTCCGCTTGTTAGTTTGTTAAGAAGTCGGTAATACTGCTGGATATTAGTTACTAAACGGAAAAGCAAATTAGAGGTTTTCATACTTAAATTGCTTAGTGTATCTTTTTTATAGCAAATATGTAGCGTCTCTCTTTCCAAAATGTATAAAATGTTGCAGTTATTCCATTCATCCTCCCCCCAACTTTATCTGTCTAAACCTGTTTAGGTTTTTGTTTACACTAATGGCGATTTCATGAACTTACGATTCATAATTAATATTATATGTGTTCATATATTCAGTCACTAATCGTGTATTTTTTTTAAAAAATGCCTCACACTTAACAACTTTATCAGAATTGTTCAGTCTAAAATAAACCACACACTTTTTAATAGTATGCTGTCTTTCACTATGATTAGTATTATTCTCTATCTATTTTGTAACATCCAAGTCACACATGTTAGTCTCTGTATTCTATAATCACTTTCAAAAAGTATTCTTTTTTCACCAATTTCAGCATGAGTATCCAAGCCTTATCGTTGTAATAAGTTAAATATGACTCAGAACCGCATATATAGACTACTTGTACCTGCTAACCGAGTTCAAACTACTACTATTATTGCTATTCATCACCATAATTTCAAAATTATTTAGATTTATTAAGCAGTTGTACAGCGAATGTGACAAATTTAATATTCTCCAACCTTTTGAATTACGAGTAGCCTTAATTCCTTAATCCGAATAGTAATATGCAAATTAATTAAACAAACTCTACTGATAAACTAATCTTCATCAACGAAATATTCCGCTAGTTTAAATCTAAAAATTGTCCCATATACACTAATAAAGTGTATTACTCCCTGATACCAGCCTTCATTCGATTCACATAGTATACATAGTAAACACTTTATAGTTTGCTTTGTAACGTTTCTTTACATTTCTCCGTACTGTATTTCTTGCAGTAAAACTGCAATTAAATGTCAGTGAAAATCTGATATTTTGTCTCTTTTCTCCTCTTTTAATGTTATGTTTTCCGAGGATGTTATCTTTGTCGTGTAACCTATGTTAGAACAGGAGAACCGGAAATAGGCTCTTCTTATAAACCTGTATTTAAAGTTGTCTATTATCGTGGTATACGTTTTCATGTTTCATCAAATCAAATCAGCATGTTCACTGCGCCATTAGATCCATCTTCAATTGTGGCAGTTTTAAGTAAATCACATCAGTCCTTGTCATCATCTGTGGATGTCAGTTTAGTTGGAAATAATAACAATAATAATTCCAATTCCGAAGCAGTTATGAAAACAGCTGTTTCTGGTACATTATTGAAGGGAACGTATGAATGGTATGATCATGATTCTGTAAGTTGACTATCATTATTCTTATTACCAGCATAAATCAACAATGGTTATCTGTTATTCTATTGTTGTGGGACAACTCTGAGTTGTAGTGAGGTGGTAACAGCTGATCCAACGAAAATATCCTAAAGAAGGACGTAATCACATAGTTTAGGTCTTCGCTATCATACATGGAAAGCTTACCGTTGTCAGTGTAACCTACTAACCAAGTGCATGCGTGTATGCCCTCGTCTTTAAGCCACAAGGTTTTCATAAGGACTACTGATACTAATTGTCTGTCCAAATCAATGTTGATGGAGCATGGTTCGAACATCTTATCAATAGTAAATCGAATGCTTTAGCCGTCAAATCACTTCATTCCTACTGTAAACACGTTTATGCTGATAGAGCAATTTCTAGTCTCGTCAAGTTCGTCCTCACCTATTCAAGAAATCACTACTCATATAAATACTATTTATGACACTTCGATTGCCTATAATATGTCCAATGGCAACTTGTAAGCAATGGTGCTCTTATTTCTCGAAATAATTCGATTAAACAAGTGTTGAAAGTACCAATCGGCAGACCAAACCATGGGACATATTTAATTTGCAGTTATCGATCGTGTTGAACTTTTATTTTATACACCTACCTTTATAACTATGCGCCCAGAAATTACAGAATTAGGAGTATCGATAGTCTAATTGATCAGTTTAGCATTCTTTGTCGAGATATTCAGAATAAGTAAATGGTTTTTTAGGTAACCTATTGTTTAATTACACAGAATAGATAGGATGTGGCTGGTAGTGGAATCCAGAACGTGCGTTTTGTCCTATTTGGGAGTCGTTAGCTGGTTGCACCTGCAACCCAGATTTGATGTTTACTCGGGTACTCAAACCCAGCACGATTTGCTTCAAACTACATCGCGTTATACGCTTGACTACTGAGACCAAAACTAATCAAATTTCAGTCAAAAATACAAACAACGGGATAATCCAAACCACTTCAAATTGAATTAAATATGTTACATCTTTGCATTCATATAGACACAAGTAGGTTGTGAGCTACACACTAGTCGTACCTAAACAACTGGGATTATATATCGTATCAAGGTCAAGTTGATTTAGTACACTGACTTGTAAAAATCTGCAATAAACTCCAGACAAACAATACTACTTTAAAATATTCCTTAAATATCTGAATTTTGTTCTCAAGTCCAAGCTTTACCGCACACACTACATAAAAAACTACTTTTTCATTTTGTTCACTAACCATTATAAGCTCGTTTAATGTATCCGTTCCCTAATTTTGTTACTTCTTTCTTGTTTATTTTCAGATTGTGTGCACTTTACATCAATTTTCCGATAAACAAAATCGACCCCCAATAAGGAGACGCCAACACTTGGGTCCTGTTGTTCCACAGTTAACAGTTACGTTCACAATAGTAAGTTTGTGTATTATTTTTTGTAAGAAAAATACAGTTGAAGGTCTACTTAGTATATGTTAGAGATTCAAACACTGTTTAAGGTTTGTTGTTATTTTATTTTTTTCTACGGTACGACTAGATAATTAAAGTGTATTCGGTTTTAAGTCACCACCTGATGTATGGTAGGTAGTTCAGATCGAAGTAGATAAGGACTATATTTGATATCCAAACCTAAAAGTCAATGATTGTGAAAGCTAATTGGTTCGGCTACTAAGTTCTCACTCATATTTTAGCGTTGTACAAAATTTATATAATTAACAATGATTATTTTCTGTAAGTTGTATATCTAGACTGGTTAAATACTAATCATTTTATTGAAGACTAGTTCAATCCAAATCATCATATGTGAAAAAAATAAGCGGAATGAGGGCGTGTGGATGAAAGATAGAGAATGAATGAGTTAATAACCCGATGTTCTATCATTATTGCTTGTTAAAAGTGTAAAGATGTCAGGTCTTTCCCGCTAAATAACTATTTGCGTTCAAGTTGTGTGTTTGTACAAACCAAAGTGTATTTTTTTTAAAAAAATAAAAGGTACGTACTTTATCCCAGTCGTTAAATAATTAGGAATTTCCAAAGTTTTGTTTGCACTGATGAAAAGGCAATCAGGTTATTTACCAATCAGATTTGATCGGGCACCGTTTAGTCTGAAAAACACCAAACTTACGTTTATACCGACTAATTGGCAAAAAATTTAAAATTAAACAGTTGATTTGACAGCAACCTCTTCAGTCACTCAGTCAGTGACAACGTAGAACTTTGTACGTACGTACATCAGTTCGAGTTGCCACACCACATTAGCACAGAGATGCAGTGGTCGATTCAAATCCCGTAGTGGTAGAGGTAATAAGAGTATAAGCAGTAATCGGGAAGATTAGTGTTTGGAGATGTTATTTAAAGAGTATAATACAGTGAAATAAATTTGAGAGGAGAAAAAAAAGAGACAAGGAGGAATAAGGAGATCAAAATTTGGGAGAACACAAAGAGTGGATGCACCTGCGCCATTGCAAACGATTTTGAGCCATGTCATTCAGGGTCTCTAACCATCGGTTGCTATCATCTCGCGGTCCCCAACCAGGTAGTCTACACCTACCAACATGACTCAGTCCACTTGTCAGTGACTTCATGGACTTGTGCCATGTTTTGGTCTGGCCGCCCCTAGCTTTCTTCCAACCTACTCCTATACCACTGAACATCGCACGTCGAGGCAGTCGGTCGTTGGGCATACGTAACACGTGTCCCAGCCATCTCAACTGATGAAGTTTCACTACGTCATCAATTGATTTGCCATCCTTACCTAGTACCCGTTTCCTAACAACTGCATTACTTACTCGATGGTCCCATGATATACGAGCAATATTTCGAAGACACCTATGATCAAATACTAGTAACCTACGAATATCCTCTACTCTTACCGGCCATGTTTCACTGCCATAAAGTAGGACGGAACGAACTGCTGCGCAGTAAACCCGTCCTTTGGTTGATAGACGGATATCTCGCCTACGCCATAAATGACGCAAGTTGGCAAAAGCTAGTCGAGCCTTCTGTATCCGTGCTGAGATTTCGTCACACACCAGACCACAAGGGCTGATGAGACTTCCAAGATAAGTGAAGCGATCGACACGCTCAACTACTTCACTCCCTATCATTAGTTCGGGTGTCGATGCAACCCAATCCTGAAGCAACATTTTGCATTTCGAGGGGAGAATCGCATCCCGAACATGCTTGCATTGTTGCTTAGAGTGGTCAGAAGACTCTGCATTTTGTCAGCGTCTTCACCAAATAAAACTATGTCATCAGCATATTCTAAGTCAACAAGTGAACCTCCCGGTAGAAGTTCAACCCCTGGAAATTTAGATGAGGAGAGTGTTATCTCTAAAAGTACGTCGACCACAAAGTTGAACAAGAATGGGGAGAGTGGACAGCCCTGACGAACACCACTTGAGGTAATCAATTCTGATGACAGTTCGCCATAAGCTCTCACTCTACCAGTTGTGTTCGAGTAGAGAGCCTTTATAAGGTTAATGTACTTCTTTGGTACTCCTTTCAGTGACAAACACTGCCATAGAACCTCACGATCAACAGAGTCGAATGCCGCCTTAAGGTCGAGAAATACTACCATTGTGGGGCGTCTGAATGTGTGTCTGTGTTCTAGAACCTGACGTAGTGTGAATATCTGATCTATACAACCACGTCCAGGTCGAAAACCAGCCTGGTTTTCTCTAGTCTGCTCTTCACGAGCTTTAGTTAGGCGTCGAAGTATTATTGAAGCTAATATTTTAGACACTATATTAGTCAAACTGATTCCTCTGTGATTGTCACAAGAGGACTTTTGTCCTTTCTTATAGACTGGCACAATCAGTGATTGAGACCAGTCAGATGGGATTACGTCCAGTTCCCAAATTCTACCTAAGACCTCAGTTAATCTCACTGCTAATACTGGACCACCATCCTTAAAAATCTCAGGAGTAAACCTGTCAGGGCCTGCTGCTCTCCCTCGTTTCAGATTTCCTATGGCTTTTTCAACTTCGTAAAGAGACGGAGGACCTACATTAACTTGCCATTCAGGTTGACTGGAGATCGTGGGAAACCGAAGTGTGGCTGAAGGCCAGTTGAACTGATCCCTAAAGTGTTCTGCCCATCGATCCAATCTCCTGGATTGAGAATGTATAATATGTCCATCTTTCTCTGAGATTGTTTCGCTAACAGTCGGTTCCTAATTCCGGTTTCCTTAAAAGTCTGAACAATTGTCTGCTATTACCTATTGCCGCTGCCTTTTCCATCTCTCTTGCTTTCGCTACCCACCACTGTTCACGATCATTGCGTAGACTTCTTGTCAGCTTGCGCTTAAGCTGACTCCGCTCTTCATTATGTTCAGAGCCAGGTGGAATGAGTTTCCGAGCATCTATCAGTGCGATAGATGCTGCTGAGATCCAGTGTTGCTCCCTAACCTTCTGGTTTACCTTACTAGCAGATATCACTGCTGTTTCCACAGCTTTTCGGATATCATTCCATGCTGCATCGGGGTGGGCATCACATACATGGCTGCCTAACTGTTTTCCTAGTTGTTCCTGAAATATACTCTTAGCTTGACTATCATTAAGTAGGGCCCTAAGAGGTTTCCTTGCAGCGTCTTTCCTACGTCCAGTAAGACGCAGACAGATACGCGCTCGCACTAGAGCATGATCTGAATCTAAGCATGTGCTCCAGAATGAGCGACAGTCTTCTATCGAGCCCCTCCATCGGTGGCTGATAGCGATGTGATCTATTTGGGTCCAACGTTGGGACGAATTAGGGGGTCGCCATGTTAAAAGATGTTTTTCCTTATGCTTAAAGTTAGTATTTGCAAGGAACAGGCGGTTATCTGAGCATAGCTGCAACAGACGGTCGCCATTATCTGTTCTTTGAGCCACGATGCCATAAGATCCACCTAGGTGTCTTTCCCTATCGCTTAGTTTACCTACTTGAGCATTAAAGTCACCGGCCACTATTACTACATCCGAACGCCTAGCTTTTCGGAGAAGGTCCGAAAGCTTTCTGTAAAACTCATCTTTTACATCATCTGAGCTGCAGTCAGTGGGAGAATAGGCAGAGACGACGAAGAGGCAACGACGAGTGTCCCTATCTTTTCGGATCCTTACTGTTCCGTTCAGTCGGACAGCGCACAAACGACTGTCTACTGGGATCCACTCTAAGAGAGCTAGTTCTGCCCTAGGACTCAATGCTATACCTACGCCGGCGAGGCCACGGGAAGCAGAATCAGGGCTTCCAGATACACGAAGTGTGAATCGAGTCGGTTCTTTATTTTGGCATGGTGAGGTCAAATGAATGACGCTACTCGGATCCTGTATGCGCGTTTCGGAGACGCAGCACACATCGATGGCGCGGGATTCTAAAGTCTTAGCTAAGGAAGCCTGTTGTCCTATTTGGCACAGTGTTCGGACGTTAAAAGCTCCTACGTGTAGTTTAGAGCGTGGTTTCAGGAGACCAGGAATGGCGTTCCGCGTACTCGAATCGTTTGCCCTAGCGGTGCGAGGTGATAAAGAGACGTGAGGAGGGTTAGTCATGGAGATAAGAGAGGTATTAGGAGGTGTAGGAAGGATTTGAATGTGACCAACTTGGTCTCGTGTGCTGTTACGGGTATGAGGGCTGATGTCACTTCCCGGCTGCCCACACCGTGGAAGGGTATTTCTTGAGGAACCTGAAAAGGAAGTTGGATTAGCGTTGGTCTTAACGATCTGGCAGCGTAACGGTGGGGCCCAAAGGTCAACTCCTTGAGGTTGGTCGTGCACGGCCTTTTCGTGGAAGGTTTTTAATGTGTTAGCTCCGTTCTTCAAAATGCCTTACCGCCGAAGACGGAAATCCGTAAGGTAAGGTAAGGTGTGACATTTTTAGGGTCGACCTTTTCTAACCCTACCCCTCCTTGTGGGAAGGCAGCATCGCTGCAGATGCTGGTTGTCGGAGGGAAACACCTTACTGCTGTCACACCCCTCTACAGTCAGCAGTACGACTTCGCCCTCAGACCTTGAGTTGCTACTTTTAGTCTTACCGTTCTCCAATCGATCTGCCTGGCATGGTCGAAACTACAGAAACATATGTTCCAGCCAATATAGCTCGGTTGAGTCATCACGATAGGCAAGCCCGACCACCGCCTCAAGGTAGCAGCTTCGGTCGGGGAAATATCTTTTTTGTAGATGTAACCTAACTTCACTCTTACATGGATTATCTCTAGATATTCTTTACCTTAGTTGCTGATCCAAATTCCTTAACTAGCAAGTTCAGTCAGTCAGACAGCTACAACGCAAGACCAGGCACATATATGCGTCGATCCAAGTTGCCATACCTCATTAATACAACAAGATGGACACCGGATTCGTAAAAGCAGTTAATTCAGAGGTGGTAATATATAAAAGATTGCAATAAGGATATAGTACAGGAAGAAAGAATTAGTTCGTGGAAAGAAAGATATGAAGCAATTTTAATCTCTTAGTTTAAGGGAAGACAAAGAGTGTATACACCTACGCCATTGTGATCGATTCTGAGCCATATCACCAAGAGTCTCGAACCATTGGTTACGATAGTCACGCAGACCCCAACCAAGTAGTCTGCATCTACCAACATGGCTCAGACTAGAAGTTAGTGTCTTCAAGCACTGATGCCACGTTTTGGTTTGGCCGCCCCTGACTTTCTTCCAACCATCCCCAACACTAGTCAGCATTGCCCGTCGTGGTAATCGGTGTTCAGGCATACGTAACACGTGGCCCAACCATCTCAGTCGATGAAGATTCATAACCTCATCAACTGATTTACCATCATTACCTAATACCCTGCGTCTAACCTCACTATTACTTACCCGGTTCTAGCCTTTTTTATTATTATTATAAAAATTCGAAAATCCAGAAATGGTGAATGTTTCTGTCCTGAAGATCTTGCTGGTTGTGGATATAACTGCATATGAAAGTCTAATAGTGTCACTGTTTCACGTAGAGAATGATCGCGAGGCGGGATCGTGGATGCGCACTGCTGAGGAGTTCCACAGTAGGACGAATCGGGTGTCTAGTGCTTCCAAGTTTTCCATGGTGGTCTAGCTTCAGTTGACTGATCACAACAATTAAAATTATTTTGAATCTGGATCAGAAGATTTACAAGGTGCAAAAACTGCAGCGATACAGGTCCCAAAGTGTTACTACAGAACGTCCACAGTTCCTTCGTGAAAGATCTAATAGAGGGGTAGCATATTAACTTTAAACAACCTACTATAACCCCGCTCCTTCGAACATATAAAAATTGATTGACGCTCTACACAAGGAATACAACCAGAATAAACTGGATATCAAACCGTTCGTCGCAGGAATTCAGAAGTAGCATATAAAAAAAGTAACGAGTTGGCAACACACATCAAACTGGTTGTAGAAGATTATAGATAATAGATCGATATTATGCTAGTTGTGCGATATCGCACACTATTTGAATTTACACAATTAGATAAATCAAATTGTGTCTTCAAAGTAAATTTTACGTTGGTCTATGTGCTTTTGCATGCACCCTTATTTTAGTAAACTTGCTCAACAAATTTCAGAGTATGTCAGTACGCAGCCTCTCGTTTTACACAATGGGAAATCTTCCATGTAAACATTTGTCTTGGCAAAAACATCCCTTACGTCTAATGCATATAGATCCATCAATGGTATTTTTCATGTGTTACTATTCAGTGCATCACTGTTACCAAAATTTTTAGGCATTACTCTCAAGTTCTCATTACTTTTTTCAATCAACCGATATTTTTTTGATAGTACGGCCAACCTGGAATAACTGTATATAAGAATGGGTGCTAGTTCACTTCTCATAAACCACAGGATCTGTTCTTATATAAAATTATCCTCATGCAATGTTCAAATGAAATCTTTCGTTGATATATTCAATCATGTTCTGTAGCACTAAACTGGTAAGCAGTATTGTCTAGCTTTCAGTAATTGTTCAATTAATATTCTTAATGGATACTTTTGTCTAAGTTACATATATTTTTGGATTGCAGAAATTTAAAATCGGTAACAAAAAAGGTTGTCTACACAATCAGCTCCTGTGGGATTCGTATGTTATCCATACCTTTGATAGGTAAGTAAAATGATTCTAGTAATGTTTTTTTATCTAGCTTATATTAACCTATAAGAACTAGTTGAATTTTTTTCAAGAATAATGATTAAGAAGTTGAATAAAGTCCTTATTAGCAACCGAACTCGAACCAAAAGCGTCTAGATTACTGACTAATAATAATACTAACAATCCACTAACCAAGTAGCAGATGCACGTATCTGACTTTAAGCTACTTTGTGTGTATATGAGAGAGAGAGAGTTAATAATTATACTCAACTTTTCAAATTAAATTGGGCAGGTGGAGTTTAGATTTGCTACTGAATATGAAATTTCAAATTCACCTAACTCACTTTAACAAGTTAAATTTGTTTTTTTTGGTAATTTCATTTTTGTAAGCGTGAAATAATTGATGTGGATGCACAACTTTATTTTCTTTAGTTATATATGGATTTTATAATAAAGTGGGATTTATGGAGTATTGTTTTTATTAAGGAACAAAACAAGGTTAATAAATGGATAAGAAATAAGTGAAACTAGTACCGTACAGTCGTAATTATGACACTTCCTATGCTTAATGCCAAATGATCTTAATCCCATGTTTTCAAACAGTCAACAAATAATTCTAATTCCTATTCTTTTTAGTACTACATAGCAAACAACAAGTATACTGTACATAATTTCTATATAAGCTATACTGTGATTATGATATACAATCGTTAATTTTGTAAGGCACTCAATCATGGTTATCTTTCTAAACACAGTATTCATGTTACCTATGCTGTTAACCTTTTTTATTAGTTTATCTTTCTGTACTTTATTGAGGTGTGCGTAATTATAAATCTAACCACATCTTTGTTATTACTAATGGTTTCTTTCTAAATCAGATCCAGTGAAAGTGAAAGTACCACCGTGTTAGAACTAACCAACCAACATTTCCCACCCTGTCGTTTTGTTCGAGTGCGAAACTTCATCCCAGAGGTGACAACCTCACCACTTTGATCTGTTTTCACTACTAACCCTGGTTAATCTTATCTTTACAAAAATATTTCTCAACATACAAATATTTCTATAAGTACATACAGTTTTTTAGTGTTAACTCGTATCAATTACTCTGCTTAATGTATTTGTTTATTTTACTTACGGTTTCATTTTTGAATACTTCACTCTGATTTACTTTGTCGCTGTTCTTACTTCAACTTAAGTTCTATACATAAGTATATTTACATCATACATGTGTACATAAACGCATGTTGTTCATCATGATTTATGTAATATTCGACTTCTCTAACTAGTTTCATCATAGATTTTAATCCACTCGCGTTTACTGTAATGGAGGTTTATCTAAATAGATCTTACATATCTACTACAAAATAATGTCTGGCATTCACAGTTCTTTGTTTAGTTGACTATTATGCATTACAAACTGTATAAAACGATAATTGTATTCTTTATTCTAATGAAATCAAGACAAATGAATATCAAAAGTCTAAAATCTGAAGTAAGGCGTATTCCTCACTGTGGATCCGATTAGTAAGTTATTAAATGGAGAGAGAATCTAGTTTCCCAGTCATTCTTTCACCCTGATAATAACTCATTTCGAAATGGTTGATCTTGATTCCCACACGACCGAACAGATTTCTCCATAAGAATACTCTCATATGATTGTGTAGTGCATCAATATTTATTACAATCCCGCTAGTCAAAAGTTGACTCTTTCATTATGTTGACGGATGACTTGCTTTACCCACTCACTTTTTTTCTACCTGGTCAATAACTACCTCTGAAAAATTGTTTTCAATGTAAATTTTGTTGTAGCCGTAATGAAATTATTCGTCACAATGAGACTCGTTACATTTGATGTTTACATACTAACGTAGGTCCCAAAAGAAGTTTATTTGATTTAAATTTAGGAAACCCACCCATCACCTGTATTTTGTACCTCAGCTGGATTTAGGAAACGCGTATAATTGATGAGAGTTTCCTTCAGTTCATTTTGGATTGATATATAGCCGTGTTTGTGTAGGTACTGCACTAATCTGCTGAGTTGAAGTTTCGTTATCTAATTCAATTTCCACTAATCGTTTGTGTTTCTTAACTGAGATAACGCACATGGAAATTTAACTGCTTTCTCCTCCTATGCTCCCGATGTGATTAAGGATATCTAACCAGCTGAGTAGTGAGTCTACTAAGTTCTTGATGATGCTGTTAATTTCGACAATCCGATTCGCTTTCAGTATGATTTATTCTACACAGACATCAACTTCCAACACGTCTGTTATTGGCTAATCAGTTTACTCAATTTTGCATACCATACCAAAACCAGAGTTCAGAACCAATAGCAACATTGAATAACGACCGTATGATACACAGAAAGTTTTAAGAATTCCGGAAGAAAATCAACTAATATTAGGTGCAACTTCTATCAACAGTAGAAACCTTATTATAATCTAAAGTATTATTTACATGATAACATCACATTACTGATCTAAGCTTTATACAACGTTTACAGTGTTTAGATAGTAATTTTCTATCTGACCTAACTTCCTTACCTTACGATCGTAACTAAAACTTTTGAATTATTAACGACAAACTCTCCTGATCCATCATATTCCCAAACTGAAAAATCGAGAATCAAAAGGAAAGTACTTACTTACGCTTGTTACCCGTAAAGGAGCATAGGCCGCCGACCAGCATTCTCCAACCAACTCTGTCCTGGACCTGTTTTTCTAGTTCCATCCAATTCTTGTTCATTTTTCTCATTGCCCGGCGTAATGTGTTCTTTGACCTTGAGGATCCCATGTGAGGGCTTGTCTTATGATGCAGTTGGGTGCTTTCCTCAATGTGTTTCCTATCCACTTCCAGCGCTTCTTCCTGATTTCTTCCTCCGTTGGGATCTGGTTTGTTCTCTCCCACAGTAGGTTGTTGCTGATAGTGTCCGGCCAACGAATCCGAAGTATTTTGCGTAGATAGCTATTAATAATAAACACTTGTGTCTTCTGGATGATGGCTTTCGTAGTCCCCCAGGTTTCCGCCCCACACAGTAGAACTGTCCTGACATTTGTATTGAAAATCCTGACCTTGGTTTTGGTTGACAGTTGTTTCGAGTTCCAGGTGTAAATATGCTGCTCTTGCTTTTCCGATCCGCGCCTTCACTCCTGCATCAGATCCACCGTGTTCATTAATCATGCTGCCCGAATATGCAAAGGTTTTTACATCTTCCAAATCTTCTCCGTCAATTGTGATTGGATTGGTGCATGCCGTATTGTATCGGAGAATTTTGCTCTTCCCTTTGTGTATATTGAGACCTACTGTTGCTGAGGCTGATGCTACACTGGTCGTATTTTCCTGCATTTGTTGTTGCGATTGCGATAGAAGAGCCAGATCATCTGCGAAGTCTAGATAGTCCAACTGCATCCTAGATGCCCACTGTATCCCGTGCTTCCCTTCAGAAGTTGACGTTTTCATGATCCAGTCGATCACCAGGAGAAAGAGAAAGGGTGAGAGTAAGCAACCTTGCCTGACACCGGTCTTTACTTCGAACGAGTTTGTCAACTGTCTTCCATGCACAGTTTTGCAGTTTAATCCATCATAGGAATTCCGTATGATATTGACTATCTTCTAAGGTACACCGTAGTGTCGAAGAAGCTTCCGTAGTGTTGTCCTGTCCACGCTATCAAATGCTTCCTCGTGGTCAATGAAGTTGATGTAGAGTGATGAATTCCATCCAATCGATTGTTCCACAATGATCCGTAGTGTTGCGATTTGATCTGTACACGATCGATCCTTACGGAATCCTGTCTGTTGGTCTCGAAGTTGGGCATCTATGGAGTCATTCATTCTGTTTAACAACACCCTGTTGAAGACTTTTCCTGGTGTTGAGAGAAGAGTGATGCCCATGTAGTTATCACACTTGCTGAGATCGCGTTTCTAAGGTATTTTGACCAGAGGTCCTTCTTTCCAGTTTCTTGGTACTTGTTCTTCATCCCAAATCTTGCTGAAGAGAATGTGGAGTATCCTTGCGGTTACCGCTACGTCTGCTTTCAGTGCCTCTGTTGGAATGTTGTCTGATCCTGCTGCTTTGCCACTCTTGATCTGTCTGATGGCCATGCTGATCTCTTCAATTGTTGGTGGGCCAACATCGATTGGGTGGTTCGTGGGTGCTGCTTCGATGTTGAGTGGATTTAGTGGGGCTGGTCGATTCAAGAGTTGTTTGAAGTGTTCTACCCACCTGTTTCGTTCTTCAGTGTTGGTCAAAAGGAAAGTACATTATGGAAATTGTGCTGCTAGTGTTGGCTAACACACCATTCGTGTGAGGAAGTCAATTAAGTACCAATTGACAAAGATACATTATCATGGATACATTCAAATCTCAAAAGAATTCTACAAGTGAACATATTACTTGACTAATAGGAAGGTTTTCTAGAATATACCTGGTAATGATCTAAACAAAAGTATGTTTCAAGCTTTCCACTACCTATCACTGACCATTTTGTCAGAATGTATCAGCATACTGAGTAATCCAACCCTTGGTTAAAATATCCCCAAAGTATCGTAATCAAATCTTGAAAATATATGAGAGATATACTGAACTAGTGAGTTCGAACACGTCGAAAAACTGCAACTTCATTGTGAACATACTACAATATTTAATTGTAATTAAGAGTAAAGATTGTGAAGGATTTAACCTAATATCTACTTAATTAAGGAGCCATGGAATTCTCATAGCGCCCAACTGGTTTTGACAAAATCTACTGGTAACCCTCTCCTTAAATTTTATCATGAATAGTGAAACATCGAAAGTGATCTACTCAACAAGTAACAATAATACAGTCTTGTTAATTGAAAAGTGAATAGGATCTTTGATAAGTTTGACCAGTATAACTGCTGGACTGTTGTCTTGTATCAGCTCTGTAGAGTTAAATCTGTAGAATTAATCCATGGGTTCGGATTCACAAAACTTGGAGAGGGATTGGCTGTTCGATCGTAATAGTCTATGGTAAAGTATAGAAAGAAGAAAACGTAAAACATGGGTATAAAGGCAAAGTGTTACCTTTCGCAAATTTATACCTTCATCTAGTGTCTGTTGTATGCTAGCGATCGATCATTCCCTATATTATTATTATTTGAACACATATATTGGTACAGGAGTGCGCCAAATATATATGCGCCACACAATTTCAGTTCATTAATTGTATGCGGGCTGCGATACTGCCCGGGTGCCCAGACCGAAACAGGTGGTTATCTTAGGGGGCCACTCCCCGAGCCTTTGACCCAAAGGTCTAACCCACAAGGCAGTGGAGCATCGTAAGGAGATGCAGTCCCATGGTATCCGGTGACCAACGATTGGTTCATACGCCATTTGCTCCCGCAGGATACTGGAGCCCCTGTGCACCATTGGTTTGGAATCCGGTTAAAGCGCCGGATATTCGCTTTTCGTTCTCTCATTTTCGTAAACAACACCCCTGCCACGAGAAGGCAATGAGTAGGACTTCCCTGGCAGAGGCTGTATACGCGTGGCCGTGTGAGAGTATTTCGAGAGGGAGGGCGAACCCACCCCGCTCTCGGCCATACCAGGTCATTTGGGGGCCTGATAACAAGACACAACAATAAGTAAATAACTTATTCCCTATATTACTTTACTTACTTACGCCTGTTACTCCCAATGGAGCATAGGCCGCTATTCCCTATATATGTATCCATAAAGATTTACCTAAGATCTTCAGTTAATCCTTCCATTGCATATTGTAGGAAAATAACAGGGAACAACTCACAGAATACTCAACATTACAGCGCCTAAGTTTGGTCGAATTCATAGATCTGTTTCTTGCAACATATTTCCAATTTAACATTCAGGTTAACAGATAGATCAAGTAACTCCTATATATATATATATATATATATATATATATATATATATAATGGCTAATTACACCTCTACCAATAATCAGACCGAAGGCTTTAGTACATTACGTGGATGATTCATCCATTATCCCGAAGTGAGAAAGACTCCAAAATATTCATCAGTTGATTAACATCTTCGATGACATCAAATTTGCAAGAGGAGAGGGATCACAAAACAAAAGCTCGTTTTCAGATGTTTTAACCAACAGGACGAACACAGCAGCTTTAAAAACAAGTATGCAAGAAGTGAAGCCTTACTGATCCAATAATTAACTACAACAATAATAACTCAGCACGACGCTTAGAGTTGTGTACAGACAATATTTAAAAGGGCTGAAACTGCTATTGCACTGTGACTACTTGAAGAATCTCATCCCTGCCTTTCATAACAATGGATACCTCAGAGATATCGGAAGTTCCTTAACGAGTCAGTATACTATCAAAAAATCAATCCTGGAAACTAAGAAATAGATCGTCCTATCGTCTGTGAGAAATGTCTCAGAAACCACCACAAAGATTCTGGAGCCCTTAAGAGCCAATGTCCCCCACAAATCAACCCATTCACCTCATTCCAAATTACCCAGACAGAAGGAGATACAACTCCGTAAAAGATAAATTATTATCTACACAATTAACCGTACCATCTGCAGAAGAATATTACATTGGACAAATTGGACACTCTCTTCACCTGTGCATTCAGAAAATAGACCGGCAATGGGACGACAAACGGGTTACTCATGGATAGCTATGGACGTGAGCTCGACCGGCGTCACGTCGAAGTTTTAGATCAGGGAAACCCTATGAATGCTAGAGAATTTCTGGTAGCCTGACAATCGATACACATCGACACAAATTCAATCTCAACGCAAAGAAGGGGCCAACCAAAGAAATGAAGAGAACCAATTACCAACAAATGTGTCAGAATGAAATGTTTCATAAGTAATCAAGTTGAGATTGAAGACGACTGATGATTGTGTTATGTAAATTGGAAAATAAAATTGCAGAATGCTATAGATTGGATTCCAACCTATAGGTTGAGTTGTAACATAATTATAGTAAGACATGATAAGTATTCCACTCAGTATCGTACTGATTAGAAGTCTCAAATTAAAATACGTCATATGTTAACACCAGAGATTTTTAAAAATGTGCCAAAAAAAAAAGATTTTAGTTATATTCAAAAATTTCATACTTCCAAAAGACCCATTAGTATTTGCTGAGGGAGATGTCAAACGTAGATGTAAAAGGATATTGGTTTCGTATTTATTACTTTGACTGTTCAGCAATCACTTGTTATCTGATTAATTTGAATTGGATATTATGCGTAATTAACGATGGCTTTTATTCCTTATTAATAGTCAGTTTGTTGGCTAATTGCTTTGTCTTCTCAAGCCCATTTAGTTGGTGTTTAAGTGCATATTATCTCATTTCGGTTATCTAAATTTCTGTACCATTGTTATCTAATAGAAGTAAGATGTCATAAAAATGATAAAAACAATTGTTGAATTCAACACAGGTAACCACCTATCGTATCTTTTTGTGTGATAACTCGTGATACCATTCGGCTATCCGAATGGATTCAGATAAAGCGAGGATTCTGATCTACAACTATTAGTCACTATGTAATTTCGAGAAAAAATGACAATAATCTATGACAAAAATGAAATCTACCTATTAGTTTTCCATCAGAATATCCATGTGAATAGTGTGAAGCGGATTTCTTACAACCAATCGATTTTAACCAATGGTCATAGGCTACAGTTGAAGCTTCTTTACGAGTTTGATTAGCTATGTGTTTTTTGAGTTCAATTTGTCTTATATAATCGATTTTCTTATACTCTTCTTCAGTTTTCTTTTTACACCACTCTTGATATCTCAATTTGGATTTCTGTGTCTAATTTAAGACAAAACAGAAACGAAGTCCTTTCAAAATACTACTTAAGACGCGCAATTAGTAAAATGTGAACAAATAGGATCTTTGAATAATTGTAAGATTAATATGGCCACAAATTTGACTTGAAATTTAGTTCTCCCTAACACCTTAAGGCAACTAAAATGACGCTAATGCATATTGGTTTTTTATTAACAACAAATTATCCTACGGAATTTTCAAGAAACCATGGCAGGAGAGCGTTTCATTTACACAACGATCCTTTTGTACGTCAGAAAACAAATGAATAGAAATAATATCATGTTAGTGATAAATCCAAGCAGCTCATCTTTCTACAACTATTATACAAACCACCACACTTATCGTAAATGAATGTTATACAGATCTGTGACTAGAAAAATTATCAGTAAATTAAAAGAATGGAATGACTCCATTCGAAAGTATCATTTTGTAGTTTACATCACGCAGTCTTGGGTAACCGCGAAGCACCGGACAGCTTTTACGCTCTAGTGTGGAACTTCCCAATAGTGCACAGCCGCAACTCCACCGAGGATTGAATCAAAGACCTCTGAGTCTCCCACCAACCTCTTAACTTCCAGACCACTGAACCTGCATTCAGTGGTTTACTTGTCTAGCTTCAATTAATCCTCGATATCTGCGACCGTCGCCACTGATAGTGGTTGTCTCATGCCCGATACGATTGGACTCTACTAGTCATATCTTCTCTAGAATTCTAGGGATTATCACTCCAAATTAATCACCAGCAAGCGTATGATGGTTTTTAATAACTGTCTCAATAAAATCTGTCAATGATGTAAACTTTGAAATTCAACTTTCTTCATAACCAATAGGTATTGTTTTGATAAAACTCAAGTGAACTTTGTGCTTTTGCTATTTCGGTTTTCAGATTCATTGTTAAATTAAACTTTAGTTGGAGTAAATTTAGCAGATCAAGCTCAACACCTTATGTCAATATCACCATCATCACAGTGAGGAAAAATTCCCAAATTTATGTAGACGGTAATCATATGGTCACTATTAACTAATGTTGATAAGAATATCCGTAGTATCATTGAGGAGCAATGACTGATAGATCCAACCTTTTAGGTAGTGAGACAGATATTGTCAGTCGTAGCGGATGGTATACCAGGAGATATTGACCGATCAAATCAGTCTTGCAAAGTCATAACAAGAAAACTCGAGTTATAGTGACAAGTTTGTTGAATTGGTAATACTCAGCAGAGTCAAGATAGATTTGAGAAAACTGGGTTCAACTACTGGGAACCGTCCACCTTTCTTGTTATTTATTCCATAAATTTGAGAATCTGAACGGTACAGAAGCATTTAAGATTGATGAGTGAACAGTCTTTGGTGTAATGATTGTTTAGATTTTTCATTTTTAATGTTCTTCAATCACGGTGATTTACACAACATGAAGTCCTATCCCAAAACCATTACATCCTTTAATGGTGATGGGAAATATGTATTAAACAGTTCTTATTTTTACTTTATATACATCCATAACCTGATCAATAGTGTGGGAGGCTATTGGTTACTAAACTCTTAACTCATGAATATTCATGACCTTTGACTCTTAATTAGTACGATATTTTTCATAACGGACTCACACCAGCTGTAAAAATAGCCAAAATCCTATCGGTATTTGTCAACTGTTTTCTATTATTTCGAGACTCGTCAACATACCCTGACTACAAAAATACTTCTTTACTCACAACTGTTACACCTCGCGAAGGAGCATAGGCTGCCCACTAGCGCTCTCCATCCAACCCTGTCTTGGGTAATCCTTTCCAGTTGTTATTCATCCTTTTCATGTCTGCTTCCGTTCGCCGACATAGTGTGTTCTTCGACCTTCCTCTTTCCCGCTTCCCTTCAGGATTCCAAGTTACGGCTTGCCTCGCGATGCAGTTTGATGATTTGCGTAAGGTATGTCTTACCCATTTCCATCGTCTTTCCCTATTTTCTTCTTCAGCTGGAAGCTGGTTTGTTCTCCCCCATAGTAGGCTGATGCTGATGGTATCTGGTCAACGGACATTCAGTATCTTGCGTATACAGCCATTTATAAATACTTGTGCCATTTTGATGATGGTTGTTTCATATCTCCTTCTCTTTCAGCTTGTTCCGTCGTCGTTGCTAATCCTTCCACGTACTTCTGCTTGTCGGCTTTAATGCTCTTCTTCACTTACTTGTTTGCTTCTGTGTACGCAGCTTGTGTCTTGACTTTCTCTGCTCGTGTTCGGCTGTTGTCAATTGCTGTCTTCTTGTTCTTCCTTTCTTGAATCTTTTCCAGGGTTCCCATAGAGATCCATTCCTTATAGTGATGCTTCTTTCTGCCCAGAACCTCCTGACACGTTGAAGTTAATGCTTCTTTGATACCTTTCCACTTGTCCTCCATAGTAGTTTCTTCTTCCTTCAATAGATCTTGTGAGGCTTGGAACCTGTTATTGAGAGCTATATTGAATTCATTGAGTTTGTCAGTATCTCGAAGGAAGGCTGTATTGAACCTTTGCAATGCTGTTTTGCTAGTTGTCCAGCGTTTCTTTAGCTTCAGTTTCATCTTGGAAATCACCAGGTTGTGATCTGGAGTCATGTCAGCTCCTCCCTTGGTTCTCGCTTCTTCCATTGACTTCCTAAATTTCTTGTTGATGCAAATATGGACAATCTGGTCCTTCGTATTGTAATTCGGTCAGACTCATGTAGCTTTATGAAAGTTTGTGGGGTAATATTCTGCCGCCTATAATCAATTTGTTGAATGCACATAAATTTGCAAATCTGTCACCAATCTCGTTCCTTTCTCCCGGGCCATGTCGTCCCATGAAACCTTTATACTTGATGTTGTCCATTCCGACTTTTGAGTTTGAATCTCTCATCAGGACGGTCAGGGCCTTTCCTTAGCACTTCGTTATGATTGATTACAGCCTCTCATAAAACTGGTCTTTATCGTTGTCATTGCTATCATGGGTGGGTGCATAACACTGGATAACATTCATTGTGATTTTCTCATTCTTTGTTTTGAAAGCTGCTTTGATGATCCTGGATCCATGAGATTCCCATCCTATGAGTGCACTACATGCTTCTTTGTACAGCATCAGAGTAACTCCCCGAGTGTGTGGAGCTTGTTCTTCTTCGTGACCAGAGTACAGCAGCATCTCTCCCGAATCTATGCTTTTCTATCTAACTTTGGTCCAGTAAGGTTTACTGATTCAGAGCACTGCTTAATTTTTTCTCCGTAGCTATTTGATTGGTCCTCTCGGTCTCCCACAGTGTCAGGATATTTCATTTGCCTATATTAATTGTTACTCTGGTTGTTAGAAGTGGCATCAGTCTCGTAACTTCCGAAGAATCTCGGCCTTCCTCCTGAGGCGTCATGATTTTCCCTTCAACTCCCAGGGCAGAGTTCAAGTGGTTAAATTTGTTTAATCTGGTTGGCGTTTCTTAGCAAGATTTTTTTCTACGGGATGGGGTTGCCGACCCCATGCCCAACTCTCCTCTTTTACCCGGGCTTGAGAACGGCAGTATATCTTGGGGAGCTACAGGCGGAGTTACCTACAAATATATACATGGTTAAACTTACGGCGTTCAGATCTCTTCACAGGTAAAGCATCATTAAATAAAAATCAAACTAAGTCAATTTACAATAAAATGTGGTCTATATCCAATATCACTGGTAGGTAGTTGCTTCTGTTCTGTCTTCGTTGATCAAAGTACATCCTACTTCAGGTTATGTGTATGAATTATAGTATAAAGTGGTATATTCCTAACATATATATCAAAAGATCACGTTTTATAATTGATCGGTCCAGTACTAAAGAATGAAATGCGAATAACTTACACTTGTTTTACAAAAATACAGACTGGATTAAAAGTCTGTACAGTTAACTCATAGAATTATTTAATATACTTCATACATATATCAATTTCATTAAACTGTTAATCCAAAATCACTAAGATAATAATTAGTTGATGAGGCAAAATATATTCCTGTTCAAAGACAGTATTAACAAGATCACTAGTCAGCATTTTGCATCTATATGTTAAAAAGGATGAGTAAAAGCTATAACTTACGTGTTCAAGTAATTCTTGTAATTTTTTTGATTCTTCGTTTTTCTTCTCTATCTCTCGAAGTTTTTTTATTTGTATTCTTTCTTTTTGTTTTGCTTCAGTCCATTCTTTACATTTTTGTTCAACTAACCTTCTACGATTTATTTTTTGCACCAATAACTGATTCCTCTTTTGAATTTCTTCAATCTTTAAAACGTTCAAAATTAATTATGATTGTTGTTATAAAATAAAAACAACTAAAAAATGTATTCAAAAAAATATACAATTTTTGAGATATCCCAATGAGTAAAAATTTGTACTTCTGGAGTTTCGTGACTTGATGTAAGTCACTTGTTCAGAGTAAATAAATAACCGAAATAGATTAACACAAGTCTAATTAGTATAAGGAAAACAAAGCAGAACATTTAATGCAATTGGCCCCTCTTATAACATTTAACAGAACAGTGAAAAAACAGAATTAATCTGAAAAGTGTGATGTGTTCGCGTTGCACATTTCGAGCAATCTGGTCACACATATTTGCCGAGGCATTTTATGCGAAAACTGATAAAGGTCAGATTCATAGAAGTTTTGACTATTCTCAGATCCAAACCCCCTTATATGTACAGAAAAAATTTGCCGTGATAATCTTTGAGTCGTTTGCATGGTGTAGGGTAGTGCAACAATTTCCTATTCTTTCCATACTATGTTTATTTTCTCCTTTATCTACAGTTATCACTTTATTTATCTGAACTTTCAATGTTCTATCTTATTACGGTCTCATTTTAAACTATGGTTAAAAAGGCATTAACATACTAATGTCCTGAATATAGCAACGTAGTTATACCTTAGTTACTAAGGCAAAGACTTTATATTGCGTCATTCGAGTTAGGGAGCTGTTGATTAACGCATCCTAGAAAAAAATCTAAAATGTCCTAGTTCAAGAACAGCAGGTTGTACCTTAGAATATGGGATCGTAGTAATGACTACTACAGTACACCTTTAGTCAAGAGTTGTATCCTACCTTATGGGTCCACTATATTTTATTTGTAACTAAATATCTCATTAAGAATCACTTAGCTACGTACAAAACACGATTTTCTGATAAATGTAATTTTAAAATGTTTCGTTTGTCTGGGACCTCAGAAGCATCCATAAACCAGACGTCTAGTGCTCCTTGATTTCTTTCAGTGATTCTCCTTTTAACATTCATTAGTGGTAAGCGCTACTCTTTTTAAATAAATTAGAACTTAAAAAATGAAATGTTCAATATAATCTGTAGATTTTAAGTGCTTAATTACATGATTAGTTTGCCCTAAGTCATACAGCTTGTGAAGTCAAAGCCATTTTCCATTTCAGCTAATCATCATCACTAGCAATAATTTTCCCCATAGAAATAATGTATAATACATTCTTACCTGTTTCTTTTTTGACTCTTTTTTCTGTTCTCGTCTTTGTTTTTCTTTCTCTAACAACCAACATCCCCATGCCGACAGTTTATCATTCGAATTGTGTAGACATTTAGCGTTATTCACCACATCACTGTTTGAGCTTATAGTTACGTTATAGTCATTTTTAGAGATCACAGGTTTGATCAATAAATGATCTCGAACACATTCACTGATCAAGCATTCTGTTATATCATACAAATCTGAGGTAGGTGAACCCCCACTATAAGGTGAAACTTTAGATGATGGTCGATTATATGTTTGTTCATTACTAGTACTATCGGTAGTAGTAAATTGCTTGGCTGATACTTTTCTTCTTAGATTAACAGTATGGTAATCTGTGTCTAACACAGTTTTGTTTTGTTTCCTTGTGCTTCTGAAAAGATTTCGAGTATTTTAAAAATATCTGAACAGTTTATAGTTTAAAACTCAATAACAACAAAGTTCTGTTAAACATACCGCTCCTTATTTCAATCAAAATGATAATTTCGAAGAAAACCCCTTGCTCTATAAAGTTTATTCCAACCAGAGTATGAAATCTCCGAGTCGTAGTATATTTCTCTCTGAATGCACTAGTCAGTGTGAGTGCAATACACTTCTTGATTATATGATAGCATATTTTGTGTACATAATGCATGTCTTAATTTTATTCTGAAGATATCAGAAGTAGGCAACTTCTACCCAAATGAATAAGCTAATTTATTTTTTTAAGAGACCAATCATTCAATTAAGACCTCTGCATTATCTTATGGTTATATAAGATCAAGACTAAGCTTAAGCGGTCGGTCTTCGGAGCAAGTGGTTTGCTGCTCTTCTATTCCTTACTTAGCCTATGTGTATAAAATGCTTGTTTGCTCAGATAAATAATTTGTGTGAATATTTCTCCATTGAGTTACGTCTTCCAGAATAACATTGAAAACCATAGATCACTGGAATTCTGTTTCTTTGCTGGTTAGGGATATTCAACAGCCCACATTTACAACCTCCAAACCTTGGAGCGAGCACACCATTGCTAGATTTTAATCTCACTTCATAAGTCCCCAATCTCAGTTGCATATAAAGCAATCATCGACAAATGCCCCCGGTTATTAATTATCTCTCTCCTAGCATAGTTTAATCCGTATTTAACTGATTAACACTAGTGAATATTATTTTTATTAGCTATTTGAAAAAATACTAAAATTAATAAAGTGGTTGAAATCGTAATTCACGATAACCGAATATACTTCAGAGAACAGAACACCAAGACGACTGACTGGATGTGTAACAGAAATAAACCCAATATTTGTGTAAATAATTCCTAATTAAGATGGTATAACTCACCAGATAACAAATGACGAACGTACAATGAAAAAAATGTAGGTGATAAATCAACCAATTTTCACTTTATCAAATATATTTTGCTTTAACAGAAAATATCAATATAAAACTATTGATTTTCGTGTCAGTTGAATAAATAATCTTAGTTGCCCAAAAGTAGAAAATACTCACAATAGTACTCTCGCTGATTGTCGAATCCACCCCTTTCCAACAGAATTTCAACCAATGGAAAATCAAAATAAACAAATCGGGAGATTTTGAATGATCGCACATTTCTCAACAGAAGAATCGGATTCATTACCTGATAAACGTTCCATGATAAGTCAAGTTTTATTTCTTATTAGTTTAAATGGGTTTTCAATCTTTCTACTCGTAAATATTTATGAGTGAAGCGATCAATCTCTGTTAAAATATGGGCTGTCGAACAAACCTTTCGATATCACCCCTACTTATAATTTAACTGTATCGTGGAAAGTAACCTGCAGTAGAATGCAGAACACATATTTAGAATAGGTCAGCTGCATAAACCCAGATTCTAGTGCTGGTGTTCCAAATAAAACATAAATTGTTCCGATACAGCCACATTTATCTGACTTTTTTAAATGTAATGAATCCCTCTTTCTGGACGTCACTGCTAAAGACTATTCAAAATATATAGGAAAAATGATTTCAAATTCCCAAGTTTTAGACAATTAATCAATAATTACAAGATTAGACATCCATCAAGGTAATGGTAGTAATGGAGTGAACAAGAACACAAGTGGGGATAATTGAATGTATTTGAATACAAAAATGTCAGAACCATACAATATATGCTTCATTTGCAAAATGTCAATCAGTTGTCTCATACTTAATTGTTACTTCGTCTCCACACTAGTCATTTTCTGTTCTCGTTCTCTTCGATCTTATTAACCTTCTCTCTCCAAGCAGTCCACTTTCAATTGACGATACATACTACTTATATCTGTCGACATCAGTAAAGTCAACAAACATAGAACAAACTACATACTGGAAACTGTGATTCTCTTGTCATAATCCTCAGAGAATAAGACTAAACATACTTATCCCATTGTACCGGCATAGCATAGCAAAGTATTCTCTACCAATCGAGTCAGTCTAAAGAACAATGTAAAAAAAAACTACCGCTAAAGACAATCAGTCAGATTCAAGGTTTTCCTGCTTAACTCGAAATGTTACTTTGGTGACGTAAGCACTTACACCATAAATTTAGGCCAAAGCAACTTAACTCATTTTGCAAGAATGATACATATCAGTAGGTATTTATGAATATCACAAACTTTAAATAAATTATACCCTCTTATCCTAATTCATAAAAACCCAGTTAATCAGGAATTAAAAATGAATTGTGAACCGATAATTTAGTCGAATTCGGAAATAATACATTCTCATACAGTTACTACAAGTATAAATGACCTCAACATTCTCGGAAATCGGGTAACTAATCGGTTATAATAAAACCAGTGGGAAGGTAAGATATTGAAGCAGTAAAACTGAAAAAAAATTTCTTAAGAATAATCATAGTTTTTTTTTAGTGACATCATGCTACTTTGAAGTAATAGAGTGAAAAGTTTGAAATGCCTGTCTAAGCTTACCTGGTCTTATATTTTTCGGGTTTTGATATACGAGGAATGAAACAGACGGAACATAGACACTCATACCGCCTAGAAAGAATATTACGGCCTTTCTCATCCTACATGGAAGAAAGAACAGATAATGAAGTAAATTAGCAAACTCTGTTTTTAAACCAGAAATTACGTTACTCGTCTATTCACAAAGTAATATGAGGACTTATGACGTTGGATACTACTAAAACCGAAATTGCACAAATTCGCTATTATTAAAGATACCATTTAAATTACATCCATCAATCCGTGAATATAATGTAAAAAGTTTTGGCTCTACATTTCATGATTCTAGCTACCAACAAATAGGGAGTGATAAGAATTATTGATGAATACCGACAAACATGTGAAAATTAGATTTATGATTCATGAGTCTTAAATTTAGGAAATTAATAATTTTATGACAATAAGTCTACAAGAAATTCGTATAAAATTCAAGCAAGGCTACTTATCATTTCCTAGATTACTTCTATAATTTTTAATTTATTCAGTACGATCACCGACCACATATGAAGCTGTGAACGGACTTTAAAAAATTCCTGTATATTGATTTTTCGGCGGTTATACCGCTGATCAATTTGGAAGAGAGTAATCAAAACTCCACGATATATGTTGGTGGATTGGATGAAAAAGTTAACGAATCGATCCTTTGAGAACTTTTCTGAGCAGCCTTGTCTGACATCGGTCCTCACTTGGAATACATCAATCAGACGTCCTCTATGCACGACTTTTCAGTATAGTCGATCGCACGAATACCCTATGGTGTTAATGATCTCAGGTATACTATAGTGTCTAAGAAGTTTCCATAATGTTCTCCTGTCCACATTGTCAAACGTCTTCTCATAGTCAATGAAGTTGATGTATAGTGACGAGTTCCACTCAACTGATTGTTCAACGACTATCCGTAGTGTCGCAATTTGGTCTGTGCACGACCGATCCCTACGAAATCCAGCTTGTTGATCTCGAATTTGGGCGTCTACGTAGTTTTTCGTCCGGTTCAGCAACACTCTGTTGAAAACGTTTCCTGATACTAACAGTAGTGTAATGTAGTTCTCACATTTGCTCAGATCTCTTTTCTCTGATATCGTGATGAGGTGTTCTTCTTTCCAGTCCGTCGGCACTTGTTCTTCCGCCCAGGTCTTCTTAAATAGAAGGTGAAGCCTACTTGTAGTTACTTCCATGTCTGACTTTAGTGCTTCAGCTGGTATGTTGTCAGGTCCTGCTGCTTTCCCACTCTTGTTTTTTCTAATGGCCATCCTGATTTCTCCGATCAATGGTGGGGTGAAATCTATAGGAAGGTTTGTAGGTGCTGCTTCGATGTCTGGTAGATTCAATGGAGCTTGTCTATTTAACAGTTCTTCGAAGTATGCTACACATCTATTCCTCTGTTATTCAACTTCAGTGATTGGCCTGCCTTCTTTGTCCTTGGCCGGTCTCTCTGGTTTACTATATGTCCCTGCTAGTTTCTTCATTGTCCATATCTCCTTCTCTTTCAGCTTGTTCCGCCGTCGTTGCTAATCCTTCCACGTACTTCTGCTTGTCGGCTTTAATGCTCTTCTTCACTTACTTGTTTGCTTCTGTGTACGCAGCTTGTGTCTTGACTTTCTCTGCTCGTGTTCGGCTGTTGTCAATTGCTGTCTTCTTGTTCTTCCTTTCTTGAATCTTTTCCAGGGTTTCCATAGAGATCCATTCCTTATAGTGATGCTTCTTTCTGCCCAGAACCTCCTGACACGTTGAAGTTAATGCTTCTTTGATACCTTTCCACTTGTCCTCCATAGTAGTTTCTTCTTCCTTCAATAGATCTTGTGAGGCTTGGAACCTGTTATTGAGAGCTATATTGAATTCATTGAGTTTGTCAGTATCTCGAAGGAAGGCTGTATTGAACCTTTGCAATGCTGTTTTGCTAGTTGTCCAGCGTTTCTTTAGCTTCAGTTTCATCTTGGAAATCACCAGGTTGTGATCTGGAGTCATGTCAGCTCCTCCCTTGGTTCTCGCTTCTTCCATTGACTTCCTAAATTTCTTGTTGATGCAAATATGGACAATCTGGTCCTTCGTATTGTAATTCGGTCAGACTCATGTAGCTTTATGAAAGTTTGTGGGGTAATATTCTGCCGCCTATAATCAATTTGTTGAATGCACATAAATTTGCAAATCTGTCACCAATCTCGTTCCTTTCTCCCGGGCCATGTCGTCCCATGAAACCTTTATACTTGATGTTGTCCATTCCGACTTTTGAGTTTGAATCTCTCATCAGGACGGTCAGGGCCTTTCCTTAGCACTTCGTTATGATTGATTACAGCCTCTCATAAAACTGGTCTTTATCGTTGTCATTGCTATCATGGGTGGGTGCATAACACTGGATAACATTCATTGTGATTTTCTCATTCTTTGTTTTGAAAGCTGCTTTGATGATCCTGGATCCATGAGATTCCCATCCTATGAGTGCATTTCGTGCATATAGAATAGTTTTCGGTGTCCTGGAAAGACATTGGTTGTTAATTAGTCATACTGTATTTTTTATTGCCGTGCTGATTCATACAGAAACAGAAAACGGCTATCTCTCCCGATCAACAGCAGTTGCTATTTCAGCGACAACAGCAGCATTTTAGAAAGAGCCAGTTGGAATTTATAGACAATTCACGCACACGTCTGCCGAATCATTCATGCTTTGTAGTTGTGACGAAAGTTAATGAATTAATTTCTACATTGCGTACAGAGCTGGAAAATTATTGCAGAATGAATGAATGTTTCAGTTAAAGCCTCTATGAATCCTTGACAAGCAGTAATTTAAACGAAAAAGTAGCAGTCATGCATAATCCGCCCAGTGATCTAGTAATATCCATTTCAGAAAAATACCTTATTGTGAGTTCAAATCCCATTATCCTCAAAACCATACACAAACAGAGACTTGCCCAGCTCACAGAAAGACGGTGTCTTGTTAAATGCTTATGAAATTGTTGCAGAACCCGTGCATGAAGAAACAGAAAATAAATCGAGAAGTATAATAAATATAATTGCACCAAATGGAAATCATCATTCTGTGACAAAGTTACTGATGAATCTACTCATCGCTGTTCTAGTTATTTTACCAGATATGAGTTATCTTAATGACTCACAAGAGCGAGACTATAATTTATGGACAAACCAATCAGATTTACGATAACAGGCCTTGTATTTTGGCGCAAAATTAATTCATTCATTTGGCTAAATAGGGCTTTGGCATTTAGCTGATGTCAGCTCGTGATGAAAACCTTATATCTAATTTTTAACCCTACATATAAACTGTAGGTTGGAAGAAAGCTAGGGGCGGCCAAACCAAAACATTGCACAAGTCCATGAAGTCACTGACAAGTGGACTGAGTCATGTCGGTAGGTGTAGACTACCTGGTTGGGGACCGCGAGATGATAGCAACCGATGGTTAGAGACCCTGAATGACATGGCTCAAAATCGTTTGCAATGGCGCAGGTGCATCCACTCTCTGTGTTCTCCCAAATTTGATCTCCTTGTCTCTTTTTTTTCTCCTCTCAAATTTATTTCACTGTATTATACTCTTTAAGTAACATTTTCAAACCCTAATCTTTCCGATTACTGTATCTCTGTGCTAATGTGGTGTGGCAACTCGAACTGATGTACGTACGTACGAAGTTCTACGTTGTTACTGACTGACTGACTGTCAGTATCCCGAAGAAAGGCCGTATTAAACTTTTGTGCTGTTGTCCTCCCCATTGTCCGGTGCTTCTTGTGTTTCGATTTCATCTTGGCGACCAGCAAGTGATCTGATGCTATATCAGCTCCTTTCTTAGTTCTCACATCCTCCATTGTCCTCCTGAACTTATTGTTGATGAAGATATGGTCGATTTGGATTTGGGTAGTGTGATCCGGTGAAGTCCATGTGATTTCGTGAATGCGTTTATGTGGGAATATAGTGCCGCCTATTACCAGTTTATTGAAGGCACATAGGTTTGCAAATCTCTCACCATCTTCGTCCCTTTCTCCAAGTCCGTGTCGTCCCATGATGTCTTCATATCCGGTGTTGTCCATTCCAACCTTGGCATTTAAATCTCTCACCAGAATGTTCAGGTCTTTTGTTGGGCACTTCTCGACGATTGACTGCACCCTATTGTAGAATTGATCTTTAGCGTCTTCATTGTAGTCGTTGGTAGGCGCATAGCATTGGATGACGTTCATTGAAATGAATAACAAAAAGATCTAATCACTAACTTTCCTAATACTATGCAGTTTCAAAAATTAAGTTACCTGACAATCAATAATAATGCGTATAGAGAATCCATCTAGAGGAGTTAGAAAACTCTGATTCCAAACCAATGGGGCATATGGGTCCATGAATCCCGAGGGGACAAATGGCGTATGAACCTGTTGTTAGGCATCGGCTACCATAGGACTTTATCTCTTAACGTTGTTCCACTGCCTTGTGGATTAAACATCTAAATCAAAGGCTGGGGGAGTGGCCTTTTAAGAAAACCACCCGGGCAGTATTCCATCCAATGATGATCGTGTTGTTTTATCGTGAATGTATCGATCCAATTCGGGCAAAATAAAATCGTTCAGTATTTTCTGACTTTTAGTTACCGTTAAAAATAAGCCAATCAATAATTTAGAGTACAACAAATCAGGACAATTCAGTCGTGAAATCTTTTTTTCTTGTTTGTTTCTTGAGATAACAACAAAATCTTGTGTATGTGGGGCATTTTCTTCTTCATGGCCGGAGTATAACAGAAGCTCCACTGAAGCTAGTCGTTGTTGTCCAACTTTCGTCCAATGTTTTACTGATGCCAAGCACCTCTAGGTTGTATCTCTTCATTTCTGCAGCAATTTGGAAGACTCTCCCGGTCTCCCACATTGTACGAGCACTTCATGTACCTAAATTAATGGTTGCTCTGGTTGTCAGAAGGGGCATCAGCCTCGTGACTTCCGAAGGAATTTGGCTTTCACCATAAGGCGTCATAACTCTCCTAAGTGAGGACCTGATTCCCAGGGCAGAGTTTAATTGGTTTGAAATTTTTTTTGGTTAGCGTTTTTTTAGCGAGCTAGTTTTCTACGGGATGGGGTCGCTAACCCCACGCCCAACCCTTCTCCTTTATCCGGGCTTGGGATCGGCAGTAGTCCCGGAGGGTCTCCAGGCGGAGTTTCCATAAATTATAGTCTGGTCGAAAATGTTTCAGAAGAACCAAACACTGATGACCTCTTATCAAGTGTCATTGATCCTCACCATCTAGTCAGTTCTATTGGATTTTCTATTCATTGCGAGAAACCTGTTTTTAAATAAAGTCACATTAATTGTAACTTGTGGATATGAGGATCCAATATTACTTCGTGAGGGAGGATAAAATCAGAAAATTTAAAGTCAGGATTTGAACTTCGAATATTCAGAAAAAGTGTTATATCCGAATGAGTATTATGAATGGTAACTTTTGAGAACCATTTATGGGAAAATATTATACGTATATTCTTAATGTGTAAATATTCAGCAGCTAGATTATGTGTATCTTACTCCTCTTATTACAAGCTTTATTTTGATCTATAAACCATTATTATATTATTTACCGTTCTTGAGTTATGCCCAATCTATCAATTGCAGTCTTCCACATGCACAGCCACTCTTGACTAAATTTTGCACAAATGTTATTTTCTATTTTATATTACGATGTTGTCTGTTTGGTTTGTATATAAACCCATTATGTTTGAAATACATGATTCATATCGCGGAGACTAGGATTGGTGTTCTGGACTCAACAGGCAGAGCTAGGCAGGAAGAAGGACCGATAAGGACTCTAGACTGCTCGTGCGGGTTTATGCGTCATTGGTCCGGTCGATATGTCACTGTTCTCTAATTGGCGGTATCATTACGTTAAATATTAATAGGGCACAAGACCACAAGTTATAATATAGATTATCACTTAAAATTTGGAAGTAAAATCAATCATTATTTATTGTCCCAATAACGTTGTGCAATATTTAAAAGATGAATGGTGGCTAGCAGTGGGATCCAGGATGAACATCCTATCTTGTTTGAGACTCGTCAACTGGATGTACATGAATTCCAGAGTTGGTGTTAACTCCGGGGCTGGGACCCAGTACCATTCGCTTCAATCCCCATCATGTTATCCACCTAGTTATTGTGTTCAGATAGCCACTGGCCCGGGTATGTATTGGTTGTTTGGATCTTCTCATTGATGTTTGGGCTGCAACTGAGACTCCAAAAGAGACTAACGAACTGCAGTCCTAAACATCGACGAGAAGATCCAAACAACAAATATATGTGAGTTCAAATTGTACAGGATTTTTCCATAATGCTTAAAAAGCACTTAAACTGTAAGGTAAAAGCCACTGAACCATTAAAAAGCAGGAATATTACATTAGTAATATATCGATCTATAAATATTTGAGACATGCTCACTAACTGAAGCTCTATGCAGTTGAAATTTGTTTCAATACGACGCATATTAGATCATCTTGATGCAGTCTTGTATTTGTTTAACTACAATGCAATTGTTCAATATTCTGTTACTAGTGTTACTTTTACTTACTGTCAGTCTCAATAGAAGTTCAACTCCATTCAAAATAGACCAAATCTTGGTGCTAATATATTTCTACTGTTATTTCACTCAAGGCGTGTCAATTCAATCCCATTGATTGTTTGTTACTACTGTATATGCTAGTTTATCCAATGATCTAAACATACATTAAGGAACATGATTATTCTAGCTCTTACTCAATTCGTTTGTCCTCGGTCATTAAAATACCATTTAGATGTCTTCGAATTTCAATAACGAGATTATGATTTACAGACGACGTTTGAGCGGTCTCAAAGTGGCTTTGAAGAAACTTAACCAATTTCTGTGGTCGAAAGAGGGTTATAAATTAATATGGGGAACTAACATTAGAAGTTTGAGTTAGAACTTAGTGTTACAAATTAGAGCCGGGACTTTCATTACATCAGCTATCATGTCAAAATTTTCGTTGTTCGTATTTATGGATGAATCTCGTTCCAAAATCCAAGACTCGTTATCTTATGTCTAACTAGCTCGTCCATAAATTACAGTCCTTTACCTTAATCTCAACAACTGAAGTGTTGTTATACCTATAATTTTAATCTCTTGATGAGGACCCAAAAAGTAATGGTTGACAATAATAAGTATTCAGCCATATCGTATACTTTTTTTATCATTTGCGATACGATTTTAGAACTGATCCATGGGAAATGAACAGAAAGATGTCTGAGCCTGTACAACAGAAAACCAAGTGGAGCTAGACACTAGTTTTATGTGTAACCAATAAAATCATATTTCATTAGATACAAACAATTAATTGGCGGTTTAACAGACAATACAGCAAAGATAGTATGTATTTTTCTACTTTGGGTTTTTCACTTTTACACAGGCAAAACATGAGCTCAGATTTCTTACACACACACGATCTAAAGAACCTGTGTGAAAACATCAAATAGATGTAGACGTAAGCAAAAAATAGCTCTATCGCTGCTTGAGAATATTTCAAGTACTTCTTTGTGACTTACAGACACAAAGTTACAGGAACCAGATCTTCGTTTTTCACCGTCATCTGTGTGTTTTTCATAAAATACTGGAGTACGTTTCAGTGATGCTGTCCTTTCAAAACGATTTCTAGCCAAGTTAGAACGTGAGCTTGGACAATGAGATAATAGTACATTACTAGCTCCAGAACATTCTTTCCGTGTTATAAGCTTTGATTTGTGATCATCACTATCTCGAACCGTTCTTTGCTGTGTATAACAGGGTATGTGACAACTAAAATGTGTCTCATGACTGTAACGGTTACCACTTGCAACATAGTTACCTTAGAAGTGATGAATATTGATTACTGTCATCTGAAAAAGAATAATCACTTTGATCAGAGTATTTATCCAAGGCAGATTGTGCGAGTAATTCTGTACTAAAGCTCTCAGAAGGACCAGGCGATTCACTAGTAAATAAAAACCCCGAATTTCGATCAGAAAACGTGGTTCCCTCCAATAAACATGAATATTTCTTCATGATATGGTATTGTTATACTTTTTGGAAATCAGATTATGTTTCCGTTTCAGTCTCAGTTTGGAAAGGATAGGAGTCTAGGCGGCCTGTGTTGATCCTGGCAATGATGGTCTCTCGGTTGATCCACCTTTCTTTTGAAACAGTCGACAGATGGAACTTCGACCACGTGTTGAAGTAACGAATTCCACTCGTTGATGATTCGATGGGAAAGCCGATAGTCAGCTGACAAGTAATTTGTTCTGGGTTTGTGAACTTTTTTGGAGTGTCCTCGTAAATCCTCTGTTTTGAAAGACAAGAAAAATGAGGACGTATCAGATGTAAACTTATCATTAAATAAATTGAAAACTGTAATCAAGTCACCTCTAGTTCATCGATATGACAATGGGAAAACGTTTAGTTTAGCCAGTCGAGCATCATAAGGAATCTTCACTATCCCAGAAATCAGTTTAGTTGTTATTCTCTGAACCTTCTCCAAAAGCTCACTGTCTTTTTTAAGCAGAGGCTAGCCGCTTGTGTGCAGTACTCAATTTTAGGACGCACAAACACTGTATACAAAGTCAAAAACACTTTAGTGTCGACATGGTTATAGGCCTTACGTATTGACCAAAGGGTTCTAAAGCCTTTGGCGGCTATCGCGAGGCGATGTGCAGTAGTTTTTAAATCTTGGCTAACGATGACTCCTAAGTCGTTGTGTGTCTGGACAGCTCGATGTTATTCACCATGTATGTCAGTAAAAACGTAAAAATTCGTACGTACGTACATCAGTTCGAGTTGTTACACCACATTCGCACAGAGATACAGTAATCGGAAAGATTAGGGTTTGAAGATGTTATTGAAAGAGTATAATCCAGTGAAATAAATTTGGAAAGAGAAAAAAGACAACGAGAATCCAGAAGATTAGAATTTGGGAGAACACAAAGAATGAATGCACCTGCTCACACTATTGCAAGCGATTTTGAGACATGTCATTCAAGGTCTCTAACCATCGGTTGCAATCGTCCCGCGGATCCCAACCAGGTAGTCTACACCTACCAACATGACTCAATCCACTTGTCAGTGACTTCATGGGTTTGTGACGTGTTTTGGTATGGCCGCCCCTAAATTTCTTCCAACCTACTACTACACCATAAAATATTGCATGTCGGGGCAGTCGGTGGTTGGGCATACGTAACACGTGTCCCAGACATCTCAACTGATGAAGTTTTACTACTCCATCAATCGATTTGCCATCCTTACCTAGTACCCGTTTCCTAACAACTGTATTACTTACCCAGTGGTCCCAGGATATACCGAGTAAGTATATATCTGTACCTTGACGACCAATATGCATCACAATGCACTTGGAAGTATTTACCAGCAACTGCCAAGTTTGAGACCATTCAGATAATTTATCCAGGTCATTTTGAAGCTCTAAGCTATCAACTTTACTTCTTATCGCTCTCCATATCTTGACGTCGTCAGCATATAGCAAGGCCGATGATAGGAGACGAGGAAGGTCATTTACATACAAGAAGAACTATACTGGCCCAAAAACTGTATTTTGAGGCACTCCGCTAGAAAACTTTGAGTTCACTCGTACTCTGTTGGTTCCAAACTAGGAAGTCTTTATTCGAAATTAATAGATTGCCTCCAACCCTAACATTTCTTAGCTTATATAACAGTCGGTTGTGAGGGACTTTGCCAAAAGCTCTGCCGAAGTCAATGTACACTACGTATATAGATAACTTTTGGTCTTTAAGAGCTCACCAGCTTCCACAAGTCACTAATAAGTTAGAGACAGGAATAACCTATTCTAAAGGCATGCCACTTTTCCGAAAGGATCCGATTTTCATCAAGATACGTAAACATCTCCTTCCGAATAATCTTTTCTAGAATTTTAACAACCACGCTGGTTAGACTAACGGGCCGGTATTTTTCAGTTTTATGTTTCTTGCCTGTTTTGATGACAGGACTTACTACGGCGTCCTCTCAGTCTTTTGGTTAACGACCCTGAGTTACTGATAGATAAAAACACATACTTAAGGGGTTTGCAACGAAATTAGCTGGTTTCTTTAGTAACCTAGGATGCATTTCATCACTGAGTCCTGTAGATTTGCTTACATCAAGCTTATTTAGCAGACCAAAGACATCGAGTTCTTTAATGGTTACGTCCAGTATATATATGGGGGAATTTGTATGAACTGACTAGAAGGGTGTCTCTAGGGTATATAAATTGCTAAAGTAGTTTGGGAATACTTGAGCTTTACCATGGTCTTTCTCCACTAATTATGAGGTATTACTGTCTCCCCATAGTGCTGGAACATTTCCTCTTTCCTTTGTCTGTTTGTTCGTATACGAATACAAGCGTTTAGGGCATTCTATACATTTCCTTAACAGTTTTTTTTATACAGCCTTCTATACTTGAGTAGGATCGATACACAAGTATTTTGAGCTACTCAATATTGAGGTTTTGTCCCATCAGTACCCAGTATCCTAAATCGCTCGCACATTCTCCTCCTCTTGCGGAGAAGGATGCAAATCTCTTTACCGAATAAAGGTAGGAAGTCTATCGAACCCCTCGGTGTAGTCTAAGGGATGCGCAGTGCAGCAACTTAAGTACAAATTTCGAAATACATACTAAATTGTTTTAGTTGGAGACTCTGGACCTATTGTCCAATCTACTGACAATGCTGAGTGCATAATATGTTCTAGGTTAGGTTTGCGTCGGGCTGATACGTGATCGTTGTTGACAACTATATAAAAGTCAAAGATTAGAACTGCATGATCACTTTTACCTAGGGATGGCATGTAATCGAGGCTCATGATGTCATCCTTATAATGGGCCAATATAAGATCTAGTAAGGAGGATTCAGATTCCGGGTCGTACTTAGTCGCCCCTCTCACATGTTGTACCACAGCACACGTGGTAACCTCATCAACCGTTTCCTGCCCGAAGAGATCTTCTGACATTTCAGTTCTCAGATTTTTCCAATCTACCGTGGGTGTCTTAAAGTCTCCTAGGATTAGGCATCGAATAATTTGTGATCAAGCATTGAGACCATCTAGCAAGACCTCATTTGCCTCAAAACTTTGACTGCGGTAGACCAAACCAATCAGCAGCTCTTGTCCCTTGCATTTAAAGCGGTAACTAACTAATTCACATGTCCCACTCTCATGTGATACACTGTCGATAATGGTACATGAAATAGTATTTCTAATAAATAGAGCTAATCCCTATCCTTTACGCTTCTGGATTGTGTCGGCTTTTACTAATGTGAAAGCTCCAAAATCAAGTTCTAAACTGTCTATAGGCTGTGTCAGTCAAGTTTCTGTGACTGAGATTACATCCGCCTGGTAGACTGAATCTGTACACATATTTCCAATCGCTTATTAAACAATCTCCGGCTATTTGTGTAACGGATCTGAAGCCTATTTAGATGGCTTCGTGCTGCACTCATATTGGCTTTGGCATCATTCTTTGTCGAGGGCTCATAACCCGAAAATTTACAATTGTTAGGTTCTTATTGCCGGCATATAACCTAAGTTTTAGTTCTTTTCCAGCTTCTCGTCTTTTTACACGGTCTGAGAGAGGAAAGTCCTTATGGACAAAAATTCCTGATCCCTTTAGTTTATGTCCATTCAGTAGTGTTGAGTCCCTTCATTGGGACTGTAAGCAGACTGGTTCGATTGTGTTTCAAATTCATTTGGCTACCTAGTATATACACCTTTGGCAGTATGGCACCGGAGATATCCTGAGGCATTAGCTGATTTAGTAGCTGTTTTATCAACCTAATGTCATGCTCAAAACGAGTTTTAGGTTTTGAACATTCACCCTCCTTGATTCTATGGGATATAACTAACCTGTCACTATGATCAGTCTCCGCTTTGGGGGGGATAGCATTTTTTTAATAGCGTTATGTCACTTCTTGTTCTCGACCTGTACCCATCTATCAACCTTCGTTGGAGGAGCAACCGCAGTCACGTCAAACACATTGTGGGATTCCGGAAGATCATCGACGACCTGGGCAATCAGGTTGCTTTTTCTGCTAGAGAAAGATCTAGGCTTGCGATTAGGTTTCTTAGGAGTTTCCACCCGGCTACGATTTAAAGTACAGGGGGGGTAGAGGAAACCCCCTTCTTGTTTTTGTTTAGAACAGACATCTTCCAAGTCCGTCTTTCCTCATTTAACCCATGTAATTCAACTATTACTAAGATTATGTGACGTGAAATCACGTCAGTTTGTGTGTCAACAGAGCAAGTACTGTTCAATGTGTCTCGACATACTTCGGTTTTATGCAGCACCCGAACTCCCAATTTTGGGGAAAATTTGGCACATTTTGGGGAAATTTGGGGAAGCCGCTACAGTAAACTTTGAGAAACTTTTGGGGAAATGGCACAAAAACCCTAAAATTCCCCTTTAACCTTGGTCAAGGTCAGTTGACTTTGGGGATTTCCCCAAAATTGGAAGCTCGGACACTTACCATTGAAAGGGTCACGGTACCGTGGCGTTAGCAAGCTGTTTGCGTCCGCGAGCAGCGCTGCCGACAAAATCACATGCAAACACTTTTACTCGACCGCTTGAAAGCCACAAGTGTTATATTCGTGCAAAATTCATGGTATTATATTTGCACACGCTGTACAACATGTCTCTTCCCGAGCTTCCGATTTTGGGGTATTTTGGGGAAACTCCCGAGATCAAAGGACCTTCACCAATGTTTAGGGAACCTTGGGGTTTTTGTGTCGTTTCCCCAAACATTGCTGAAGGTCATTTGACTTCGGGAGTTTCCCCAAAATACCCAAACTTGGGAGCTCGGGGGATGTTGACAACTCCCTTAGCTGCACTGTCCACGCATCAAACAGATGTTTTTGAAAAAAATTTGAAACAATAACACCCAGAGATAAAAGTAAATGATGAACATAAAATGTGGGAAACCGTAAATATTTAGAACCGAAAATGCTAACAAATATAACAAAAATGAACTCAAAATTGACTACGATAAACTAGTTTAGAAACAAAAACGATA